GATTGAGGTCACGGCCCAGTCCACAACCAGCCAGGTGCAGATGGTGAGTCCATATGGCCCCTCACCTCTTGAGAGAGACGGTGTCTTCCCCGGGAGCGGGAGGGTCCCCTAGGAAAGAGGGAGGGGACCCCTTTATCCCTTCATTACCCAGTTTGTGGTCCACCCCAAGCCCCCCAGCAGGAGGGCGATAGAGAAATCAGGTCAGAGAAGCCGTTAAAGTGACACACGGCGGACATTTTAAAAAGATCCGTTGTACCGTAGGCATCCATTTGGAATACAGGAACTGGGAAATCTTTTCATTAATGTGAGATAATATTTAGTAACAGGTGTAATTAGAGGTCTGACCCTTCAGGACTTGGAAACTCAGGTGGTTTCACCTGGAAAAATGTGCTCAGTTCTGGAGATGGGCTACTTGTCCCTTCAACTGTTTTCAGAGCTGGAAGGTCTTGTGTGTGGCTGCTCGGTGAAATCTTTATTGCGTTTCCGTTCTGTTATTTTTAAACAGCAGCCTTGCTATTTAAATTGACCTATTGAGCAAGAATATCCCGGAAGGGAGATTCATGAAAATGAATATACTGAAAGGTGGATTTTATTTATGAATTGTCAGAGCAACAAAATTTAGAGATGGTATCCTGCGCTACACTTCTTGTCCACTGCTCCAAATGCAAATTGAAACATTGGGAGTGGACCATGCTGGGATAGTTCAGTCTGTAGAGCATGAGACACGTTATCTCAGGGTTGTGGGTTTGACCCCCCCCGGGGTTGGGATAGATGACCTTTGTGGCCCCTTCCAACTCTGCAATTCTATTATTCTAAGACCTGTAGAATGTCTGGGTCCAATCTTACTTGTTTCCTACTTGATTTCAATACTAGAAGCCTCATACCTACTATTTCCCAAACATTCCAAGAAATCCCTAAAATCAGTGCTGTTTTGAAACCAGTGGCTAAAAAAGACAGCATCATTTAAAATGTCTGTCATCCTCAAATGGCGTCTGATCTCAGGAAAATTTGTGCAAAATTTGGTTGTGATCTCTTAAGAGCTGTCCAAATGTGAACAGAAAGACAACTTTCCAAAATAAATAGTAGGTTTTCATAATAAAAACAGCAGTCAAAATGATTACTGGGCACATGGCTTTTGAGGGAGTGGCTTATACTTAAAAAACAAACAAACTGCAAAACAAGATGCATAAAATGGGGATTTGTCCTCCATTCATGCCCCACCCCCCACTTACCTGAATTATGTGTTGACTTTGAGAGCTTAAAACAAAGTCCTTACCTTTTCCTTTCCGCAGGATGCTGAAACCACCAATATGCCGAGCCCGCCCATCACCGAAACAGAGGAGAGCAGCCCTGTCACCTTTTCCAGCAGCACTCCCCGCACAACCAGCGTGGGGCCTTCATCGATCTCCGACAGGTGCGAGGGCAACATTTGTTGGTGGGCTGGGCTTTGGAGAGCAGGGGCACTTTTCAGGAGTTGCATGTGTTTCTTCACACACAGGCAAAGCCCATCCTGGTTCCCCACTGAACTTCAGGGTTGGTTGGTTTTTTTTCACTTGCACTGTTGGAGGCAGTGAAGCTCTCAACGCCAGCTGCTGGGAACTGAAGGTGGGGAGACTGCTGTCGGCAGCAGAGTGTGGAAGCAGGCCTCCCTCGACAAAGCGGTGGCTTTGTAACCACTTGGCAAGCTGGTCTTTTAGCGTGGCACAGCAACAAAACCACTAGCGCATTTGCAAAGCTAAGCAGGGTCCGGGATGGTTTCAAATTGGATGGGGCACCACGTGTTGAGATTCCTGTACTGCAGGGGGCTGGACTAGATGACCATTGGGTCATCCCTTCCAACTCTACGGTTCAATCCACGCTCCCGCATCCGGGCCAAAATCCATACAAGCAAATGGTGAAAGTCTCTCCAGTTGGGAGGCACAGGCCACCCACTGGCCCAGTGGTTTCTATGTGTGCCGTGGTAAGATCCCGCTTGTGGGAACAACCACCCAGATGCCTGCCTCATGCTTGGGCTTTGCACCTATTGTGGCCACGATCCAAACAGGCTTTGGCAGAGGGGCAAACTCCAGGCCACTGTGCAAATGGGGAGAGGACACACATTACAAGCGCAGCATTTTAACCAAGCCCTTTCTGTATCTGTTTCAGTGATAGAGAGAAGATTCTGGATAAAGGTGACTATTCATTCTGTCGCTTTGGGGTTTGATACAATTGCACTTGTGTGTTTAAATCCTGCATTGCAGGGGGTTGGACTAGATGATCCTTGGGCTCCCTTCCAACGTTACCATTCTATGGTTCTAGAGTGGCTGCTCCTTAGAAGCTGCCCTGTGCAGAGCCCCACATGGGGGCTGGGGTGCCAAAGGGGGTCTCAGGCCTCTAGACCTGGCCCACAGGCCTCCTCCAGGCACACAACTGCAAGAAGGATGCCCCCAAAGGGAATCAGGACCCAGTGAATTGTGGGCAAAGTTTTCATGGGGGGAGGACACGGGCTGGCAGGGAGTGCCTGTTTGTGGGGCCAGAGCGACCTCACCCTGTTGAGGTCACTTGCAGCACAACCACATCCTCGGCTTGGATTGTAACACAGCCGTTTCTCACCTGTTTTCTTCCAGCTGCAGTCGAGATGCACCTCTCCCGGGACACCGAAGCAGTCTCAGGACCCTTCGAGGTAAATTGCCATAGCGTGTTTGTGGAGAGGAATGAGACCCTGTCCACAGAGATCACTCAGGCTCAGAGATCTGTACTGGTTGACAATTTGCTACATATATAAAGCCCTTAAGAACTTAGGACTAGGCAGGAAAAGGGTCTCTCTGGGCTTATCCACACTCTTTTCAGGTACGGTCTGAATTTAGAAGCTCTGTGTCAGAGTGCTTCACCCCCCTGCTCTGAAGCAGTGTTTCCCAAACTTGGGTTTCCAGCTGTTTTTGGACTACGATTCCCACCATTCCTGACCATTGGTCCTGCTAGCTAGGGATAATGGGAGCTGTAGTGCAAAAACTTGGGAGACCCAAGTTTGGGAAACGCTGCTCTGGAGCTTTCCCCTGTGAAAACTTGCTCTTTAAAGCTCAATAGGAGCAAACGGCAACCTGCTTAAAATCTGAATTGATGTTTGCCCTGATTGAGTGCTAAAGAGTGGGTCTTTGCAGTGAAAACTCCAAGGCAAGAAACAAAAAACCATGCTTAGACACAGAGCAGTAAAGTGTGGAGCTGTGCCTGGAAAGAGCAGAGCAAAAGATAAGCGTGGATAAGCTCTCTTTCTCTCATCCTGCAATGGACTTGATTACCCTGACTTAGGACAAGGACATTTTATGTGCCCCTCTCTCCTATTCCCTTCTGACCTCTTCCTCCTTTCACAGATCATGTCTGTTTACCAGGACGTTCCAGAGCATGTCATAGAGTACGAATCATGTAAGTTTTCTTGCTGCCAGTTTCGGGGTGTGGACGTCACTTTTGTCCCTTGAACAGTGGTTGGGGGGCAGGCCACGCCAGGCCACCTCCCTCCTTAGGGATGTGGAACAGGGAGGCTTCCAGCACGACATGGACATGTCCACATCAGGGAACCACAAAGTGGGTTTATGTTCAGTAGTCCCACCCACATACCTAGCCTTGCTCAGGAATTTGAAAACAACAACAACAACCCCAAAATCAGTGGAGTTTTGAAACCGGTGGTTTAAATTGCTGTGTTTTTTTGAAGGTTCCATCCACCATCTTGAGTCAAAATGGCAACCAAGACCCCCCCCAATGGCTCCTTAATCTCAGGAACCAAAGTAGTTTCCAAAGTGGGCAATACCACCATCTGGGGGGGGGTGTACCATCCTTTTGGGGGGTCCTCAAAGGCAAGGGGGTGGCAGGTGGCACAAATGATTATCAGTCTTTGAGAAGCTGGTATCACTACATCAAATTCATCAGTTTTTTGTTGAATTAATAAAACTAAACCCTTTTATTGGATTTAGAATAAAGGTGCAATTAATTGTTACTGTTTTGAATTATTTTGTTATTAGCTTCCTTAGTGGGTCATGCAAACCACTATTCTGAGTAATGCTTTGCATAAGGTAGGGGGAATCAGGGATGTGTTTATGCCGGGGGTGGTGGCCAAAAGAGTTTGGGAACCACTGTCTTAAGAAGTGTGCAAATGCATAGCAGATAAGCAAACAAGTTTCCAAAATATATAGGAGATTAAGTTTATTTAAAACATTGATAGACACACCCCATGCCTTTCTATTTTAAACAATCCAAGGCAGCTTACACCATTTTAGAATTAAAAAACAAACCTTAAAAGCCTGAACAATTGAGGGGGCGGAGGAAACAAGAATAGGTCAAAATTTGCGTAAATTTTGGCGGTGTAAAAATGAAACAAAACCCAGACACTCAAGCAGCCAAATGCTTGTCTGATGGAAGACAAGTGAGGGTCTTGGCTACCCGGAATTTGTTGCCTGCGTTGCTCTCCATCTAACGGGATATTGCTGGACTCCAAATCCCATTAGCTCATGGGGCCAGTGTGACTGACCACTAGGGATTATGGGAGTTGGAGTACACCCTTGCTCCCACTTGATGCACTCACAGGGGCTGTGAGCGGCAGGTTGACTCCATGACTCCATGACCAACCTCTGTTTTGGCTTCTCAGATCAAGAGGGAACTGCCACCGAGCAGGTGCCGCCACTCCAGCAGAAGCCCTCCGTCTTCGAGAAAGTCTCCAATGCCTTGTCCAAAGTTTTCTCCCGAACGTCCGCCAGCAGCCTGACCCACCCCAGTACGTCCCAAGAGAAAGTCCCCAGCAACCAGGCCATGACCGAACCCAGTACATCCCAAGAGAAAGTCCCTGGCGACCAGGCCTGATGACCAAACTCCTACTCCTACTACTCCTCTACCTTTATACAGCTGAGAGAATAAATATTTTCTTCAGAAACGGAGTAGCCCCTGACTTTACTTGCAGGGGGCACAGTAGAGAAATGGAGCCGCCCGACCCCTTCTTGAAGGGAGGGGGAGCTCATCTGGCTTCTGTGCTACATGCAGAGAAAATGGGGGCCAGAGGAGAAGTTGGTGGGCTGCAGATAGGGGAAGCCCTATCTGTTGCATCTGACCCACAGCCAGAGCTTCCTCGCCTGTTTTGAAGCAGGCACAACCTCTGGGAAGGAAAGTTGTCCCACATGGAGGAGGAGAATAATAATAAAAATAGGACAACACGCCACTAGTAGGTGCCAGACAAGCTGCAATTCGTACATTGTAGGGGGCTCGACTGGATGACCCCCCCAGACCCCTTCCAACTCTATGTATCTAGGATTCTATGAATTCTGTGGGGAAGGCCGACGCTTATCCATCTGTTTGGGGCCAGCCGGGTCAAAGGGGGGGGGGTGTGCCAGAGAAAATGCTGAACAAAGGGGGGGGGATCTCACAGGGAAAGTAGGAGACAAAGGTGGATCTGAGCAGCTGGCAGCCCTCTGATTCCTGGCCCCAATCCAGGTTTTCCTGGGCCATTCTCCCCATTCCCCAGCTTGCCCTTGGAATCCCAGAGAGTGCCCCTTCCTGAGCTCCCCAATTCTGTGCTTGTGGCAAATTGGGGCCAGTGAAGCTGAAGTCAACAGGGATAGGAGGTGCTGGTGGGAGGGTAGCCCTCCTTTTGGCACGTTCTTTTCTTTTCCTGAGCTGAGACCTCCTTGTAGGATTCCCACTTCAGAGCTCACCATGGGGTCCTCATAACTCTCTCTGCCGTGCTAAGTCTCTGGATAGGAGGATTAAGCCAGCAAGAGGTTGCCACTTTACCCTCAGCCCAAAGGAGACACCAGTCGTAAAAGGGGAGATAGATATATATTTCTGCTTTCCAAGGCTTCCCCCTCAGGTAGGCCCAGCCCCCCGGCTCTCAAGCCTGGGACCTTTACGTTGCCGGCCAAACAACCAGCCAGGCAGCAGAGGCCTTCTTCTGCGGCTCCGGGCTGAGCCAGCCTGGCTCTGCTGGCATTTCTGCTGGGTGGCATGCAGGGCTTCTGAGGCAGCAATCTCAACAGCAGCGTTGGGGTCATGGCAGAGAGGGCGGAGGGCTGTGGGGAGACAGAAGAGGCAGGGCAGTGGGGTAGGGCCACAGTTTCCCTCCTGGGGTGGGGAGGGGATCTTCAGGGCTTGCTTTTGACCCCTCGACAGACTCCTTCACAGTCCAGTTTCACTAATGCCACTGCCCCGCTCTGTTCCCTTTAAGACCTGAAATGGATAGGAAGGACCTCCAATGGTGACCCAGAATCTTGTCTTCCCAGCAGCCTGTGTGAAACCCGCACTCAGGACCCTCAGACAAGAGCAGCACACTCCCCTCCTGTGGTTCCCAGCAACCAACATTTGGAAGCATTGCTGCTGCTGACCGTGGAGGCAGAGCATAGCTTGATAGCCCTCTCTTCCTCCATGAATCTGTCTAACCCCTTTTCAAGCTGTCCAAGTTGGTGGCCATCCCTGGCTCCAGTGGGAGGGAGTTCCATAGGAACACAAGAAGATTCTGCTGAGTGAGGCGAAGGGCCCATTTAGTCCAGCATCCTCTTCTCACAGGGGCCAAATGTCCCTAAGAACCAAGGAACCTAGATAGGGTCTCTCTTGATATAGAGGTTCCATGAGAATATCAGGAGAGCCTGGCTGCTGGGTCAGGCCAAAGAGCCTGGGCAGCCAGCCAGATGTCCCAAAGGGAAGCCCACAAGCCCTCTTGTGATTCCCAGAAGCTGGTTCCCTCCAGAGACATCTCCATGGCTACGCCGCCATTGTGGCTAGCATCCATCATTGGCTTTCTCTCCCTCCATACTCTGCAGCTTGCAAAAAACAAAACAAAAAACACACAAAAAACAACAACACTCCACTTCTCCTAGCTTTGGTGCTGGCAATTGTTGTCAGAAAACAGGGGTCCCCTTAGAGCCAAGACCTCACCCCTGAGGCACTTTGCGAAAGGATGCTAGGTTCCTCGCGTATCACAGCCTCAGCATCCCCAAACTCTCCCAGTCATTTTTCACTCTGTATGCTGAAGGCTGGATGTTCCAGAGTTGATAGGCTTCAATTTGCCATTCCCACCCATGGGATACATCCGGTGGCAACACTCACCTACCAGGAGCCGGTCCAGATCCAGCTGTTGGAGGCGCTGAGCGTCCGCTGTCTTCACAAGGATTCCTTGCAGGAATAAAGGGGATGTCTGGGTCTCGATCCGGGGCAGGGTTGCCAACTCCAGGCCTCTCATGGACCTCCTCCTGCCATCCCTGGTGCTAGGGGTGGGGGAAGGATAACCCACCCCGCCCCCACTGCCTCTAGCCTCTCCTCCAAAGAGAGAGGGGGTCATTGGTCTCCTCCTTCCTCACGTGCAGACACACACCGGCCAGCTTGCAGGCTGCGATCTGAACTCCTTCCCAGGTACAGCACAGGTACTGGGGCACATCAGCCAGGATGGCCCCCAAGAGCGCTGGATTCGTCTTAGCCTAGGAGAAATCGGGGGGAGGCCACATCAGGTCACTGCCCAGCAGGTCCATTGTCAAAGAATAACAGAACTGTAGAGTTGGAAGGTATCCTAAGGGCCATCTATTCCAATCCCCTGAAATGCAGGAATCAAAGCTCAAGAATCCCTGGGAGATGGGCCATCCAAACTCTTGTTTGGAAACCTCCAATGAAGGTGAGTCCACCACTTTCCAAGGTCATGGAATCATAGAATTGTAGAATTGGCAGGGACCCCAAGGGTTAAGGGTCCAACCCCCTGCAGTGAAGGAATCGCAGCTAACAAACCCTTGCAATGCAGCATCAGGAATATCTGCCCCCATTTGTTTCTTGGAAGGTTAGACGTCTGCAGGTGCATTTCCCCATAACTCTCCTTATCACACAAAAAAGTCTGAACTGTTGTAAAAGTGTGACAGGGCTGCAAATTGGCTGCAATGGCGGAAACATGTATTTGTCGGGATGTGACTGAATCCTACCCCAAAACAGAGATGGCCTAGATGCGCCCTTAATTCTCTTGGAGCAAAAGAAGCAGCACGTTTGGAGGCACCTAAGGTAGAAAAGAGCAGGGACTGGTGGCACTTTCCTTCCAGTTAAAAGAGTTTGACCTCCCTATCCCTCCTTCTCTCTCTCTCTCTCTCTCTCTCTCTGCTTTGGAAAGGGTTCTAGTTTGACTCTGCCTTTGCTCTAACACAGGCACCCCCAAACTTGGCCCTCCAAATGTTTTCGGACTACAACTCCCATTATCCCTAGCTAACAGGACCAGTGGTCAGGGATGATGGGAATTGTAGTCCCAAAACATCTGGAGGGCTGAGTTTGGGGTGCCTGCTCTAACACTTGTAGGAAGGCAACAAGATTAAATAAATGAAAAAATGTTTTCACCTGGCACCTAAATATTAGGGTCAAGGCTGCCCAGTTGGGTTTCCCTGGGGACAGCATCCCAAAGGCGCTCTAAGTTTCTGGTTCTCATGGTTTAGGGTGAACAGAGAGAAGAGCAGGAGAGGAAGACCAGCACGAGAGGAAGGCCCCAGAGAGAAAGGCATTCCTGGTTGCCAGGAGGCAGCTGAGAGAAGGTTTCCTGGCAATGGTGGCAAGAGGTGGCGCCCAGTCCCAGCTTATAGGCTCACTCACCAGCTGTCGGCACACTTTGCCCATCAGGTGGATGTGACGTGCACCAGAGACATCCGCCAGCAGCTGCCCAGCCTCCATGTCCCCTGTGAGATCTTGCAGGCCCACGAAGGGGGCACATGATGTGAAGGCAATGGAACAGGCCTGGTGGAAGAGACAGGGAGGGTCACACTCTGTCCAGCCCCACCTGGCATAGACTGGGGAAGGAGGGGAGGGGAGGTCTTGGTAATTCTAGCTGATTGGGTGCAGAATTACAATTTCACAGAACTGTAAAGTTGGAAGGGACCCCCAAAGGCCATCTAGCCCCAACATCCCACAATGCAGGAATCACAGCTAAATAACCACTGCCGAACGGCTCTTAAACGTCTGGAAGTCCTCCCTAATGTTTAGTTGGAACAGGGTCGTAAATGTAATTTAAAACAACATAAACAGCAATAGCAGCTCGTCTGTCATTTCTCAGAGGCAGTGACGCTTCTGAATACCAGTTTCTGGAAATGGCAGAAGGGGAGAATTGCTTGCATCTGGTCAGCCACTATGAGAACAGGATGCTGGACAAGATGGGGCATTGGTCTGACCCAGCAGGGATCTACTGATGCTGTTATGTTGACCCCTGGTCTCTTGACAGCTGCCTGGTTTCATGGTGCACAGGTAGAGTGTCTGGGAGCAGGAGGCTCAAGGAGAGGGGTGTGGGTATGATGCCGTACCTTGGCCACAGTGGGGCTGGGTTCCCTGAAGTGCAGCAGGAGGGCAGTCAAAGACCTCCCCACCTCTTTGGCAAAGGACTTGGCCTCCTCCGGCTGAGTTGCCCTGGCCAGCTGGCCCAAGAGCTCAAAGGCTGCTTCGCGGAGGCAATCATCCACCTACAGCAGGAAGGGGTGGGAGTGGGGAATGAGAAGATCTGATGAAAGAGGGAAAGGTCACCACTTGCTAGGACCCAGCGGGACACAGGGAAGCACCCATACTCTCCAAGTGCCCCAATTTTCCAGGGACAGTCTCAAAATTACCAGTCGCTGGGAAGCACTCGGCAAGGAAAATGGACCCTCCCCTTCCTGGGTTTCCAGAAGGTCAGAAACAGGATTCTGGGCTAGGAGAGTCTTTGCCTTGACTTTGAACAGGAAGAAAGGGCCAACTCACGTGCCAGAGGTGCCCACGGGCCTGGCCGGCTATGGCCTGGAGAGCACGAACTCTGTGCCGTCTCCCGATACATCCCCACAGCTTGCCCAGGGCACACAGGCTCTCACAGGCCACTTCGGGGCTGGAGTCGTTGGCTGCAGCTTGGAGCAGAGTCGCCAGCAAAGACTCCTGGTGCTTCTTCGCCTACGGAGAAAAGCCCTCAGCCCTCAGTGGCTGGGATGCCCTTACTCCTACAGTGTCTCCCCCGCCCAGGAAACTACCCTGGATTGGCTGGAGGGGCCTGATCTAGTGGCTGACAGCAAACAGTTTGCCAGGGGCAATATGCAGAGCTCCCACCCCACCCAGCTGCACTTCTCACTTCTTTTCCTTTCCCCCTCTCCATTGCCTCCTCTTTCCTTCATTCACACCGGTCACATCCACAGCAGTGTGGTGTAGCGGTTAGAGTGCTGGACTAGGACCTGAGAAAGACCAGGGTTCATTTCTCACCCACCCCAAAAAATCTAGAGTTCCTTGCAAGACATCAGTTGCTTCCTGAGCTATGATAAACAGCTTTGAGCTGCTGCACAGCTAAAGTTTTGAATTTCTCTCTCTCTCTCTCTCTCTCTCTCTCTCTCTCTCACACACACACACACACACACACACAGCTCTTCATCACCTGCCAAGGTCCCGTTTGGAACCCCTTGAACTACCTCATGGGGGGCTTCTGTTGCCACGTTCCCCAGGCCTCGGAGCGCCAGGGCTCGCAGGGTGGTGCTGCCATCCTGGGACCTGGCCAGCATCTCTTGCAGAAGGAGGTTTAGCATCTCTGGCGTGTGAAGCAAAGAGTGGCCTGGGATCTGAGCCAAGCAAAGGAACCATCAGTAAACTCCTGCACTAAACTTCCCAGCACCCCCAACATGAAAACATGGAAAGTCCTAATAGACAAGATGTTAAATTGTTTTTATATGCAACAACAGCGGCAAGAGAATTGTTAGCCCAGAAATGGAAGCAAGAAGAAATTCTGATGAAAGAAGAATGGCAGATGAAATTAATGGACTATGCAGAATTAGATAAAATGACAGGAAGGATTTGAAACCTGCGGGACCAGAGATTCACAGAAGATTGGAAGAAATATACGAACTATTTGAAGAGCAACTGTAATCAACAAATTACGCTAGTAGGGCTACAAAAAGTTTTGTAAGGAGAAATATATGAAATATTTCAAAGTAGAGAAAGAATAGAGATACAGTGCTACCTTGGGTTAAGTACTTAATTTGTTCCAGAGGTCCGTTCTTAACCTGAAACTGTTCTTAACCTGAAGCACCACTTTAGCTAATGGGGTCTCCTGCTGCCGCCGCGCCGCCGGAGCACGATTTCCATTCTCATCCTGAAGCAAAGTTCTTAACCCAAGGTAATATTTCTGGGTTAGCAGAGTCTGTAACCTGAAGTGTATGTAACCTGAAGCGTATCTAACCCGAGGTACCACTGTATTAGTTATGAGATTTAAATGTAATAGTGAAAGTAAGAAATGTATATTAAGTGAATAGATTGAAAAATTTTCAGATGTGATTGATAGAAGTCAAAAAAAACTGTATAAGATGTAAAAGTATGTTTAATTATTGTTGAAAATGATATGTTAAAAAACTAATAAAAATGTATATAAGAAAGAAATATGGAAAGTCCTTAGGGAGAGGCTTATACAATAGCAGTAAATACAATACCTCCATGCAGAAGACCAGGCTGAGGTCTCTGTAGGCTGTTCTGGAGGAACTGAGATGGGGCAGGAGGTGATGCAGGAGGTCATCAATGAGGGGATTCTGTGAGCACGCCATGGACCTGAGGGGCAGGGGGAGAAAAGGAATGATTAGAACATAGAAGAGCCTGCTGGATCAGGACAATGGCCCAGTGGTGTAACGTGGGTTGCCAGCTCCCGGGGCTGCGTGGAGCACCATAGGGAAGGCAGGAAATGGACAGAGTATGCATGAACATTCAACTGTTTTGCGGTGTCCGTGTCACCCGGGAGATCACAACCACAGTGATAAGAAAAGAAGAGTTGTTCTGTTGTCTGGAGAGGTCACTTCCTGGTTTACATAGAGAAGCCATTTTCAACGAAGCCCAGCGGCATAAATGACATGTCATGTGATTGATTATGCAGGGTGGGGCTTACCTGCCCCCCCCATATTGTAATCAAGTTGATACTGATAGTTAACGGAACAGGACACTTCAAACAATGGCAAAAAGATATATTTAAGTTTGGCAGGGAAAGAAACCTAGGATTAAATATAAATTGTTAACAGAGGCAAACAAAAGAGGTAGATTTGCCCTACCAGACTTACAATTATATTATGAAGCGTCCTGTATCTGTTGGCTTAAAGAATGGATGAGTTTAAAGAACCCAGATATCTTAGATCTGGGAGGTTATGATAACAGATTTGGGTGGCATGCATATTTGTGGTATGGAAAAACGAAGGTACATAAGGGTTTCATGATTCATATTGTTAGAAAATCATTATATTCTATATGGGAAAAGTATAGGAATCTATTAGAAAATAAGACCCCATGGTGGATATCACTACTAGAAGCATTCTCAGTGAAAAAAATTAAATATGGAAAAAGAATGGATAACATATAGAGAGTTGTTGGTGGAGGAGGGAAATCAGTTGAAATTGAAGAAAGACATTTACTTACTGATTGGTTCCAATACCACCAACTAACTGATATTTTTAAAATGGATAAAGGAGTGGGATTTAGGAATGAATTATCAAGATTACATAAAGATCTGTTGGAAAATAATGCAAAGGTTCTGTCAAAAGTATACAAAATGTTGCTGGAATGGGAGACAAAAGACGAAGAAGTAAAATCCGTAATGATACATTGGGCAAAAGATGTGGGTCATAATATACAGTTCATAATATACAGATTCATGGGAAAAGTTATGGAAAGTGGATTTACTATTTACTGTTTGCTGTTCGTTAAAAGAGAACTATATGAAAATGATGTACCAATGGTACCTAACTCCTACAAGACTTGTAAAAATGTATTAAAAATGTCAAATTTATGCTGGAAATGTAAAGAGAATGAGGTGGACCTATAAGTCAGTAAAAGCCTTCTGGGAAATGATTTACAATGAGCTAATTTTTTTTAAAAAAATAGCGTTTGTTAAAAAACCTATTAGGCATAATAGGAGAAGAGATTCTGAAGGAGAAAAAGATCCTATTTATGTATTCGACAACAGCAGCAAGAATGTTATATGCCCAGGGTATTTGATAAAGAAGTATTGAAAAAGGAGACTTAATAGATTGGATAAAAGTATTTAGTCGCAGAAAAGAGAAGAGCTAAATACTGGAAACCGGGGAGAGGAGTGGGGGTAAGTCTGGGGGTCGGAAGAACCCCTGTAAAGATATGTAATTTGTTATGGATGAATGCAAATAATATTGTATGCTAAAAAATTTCTAAAATAAAATATATATTTTATTCAAGTTGCACCCCTGACCCCGTAGTCAGCCAGAGGCCTATTGGAACCCACAGGTAGGATCTGAGCACAAGAATCACCTGGCTAAGAGGGCGACACCCTTCAGGTAACTGCCCGGCTGCATCAGGAAGCTCCAGGTGTCTCCTGAGACATCCATCTCCCCAGCCGATTCCGGGAGAGCTCTGCTGAGGACAGCCTGCAGCACCAGCACAGCCTGCCTGGGAGACAAAACCAAAGACTCCTTTCCCCAGTCAGTTTGGAGCCAGGCAGAGCCCCTGCCCCCCCCTATTTGTTTATTTAATTTCATAAAAGTTACATGCCGCTTGATTGTTAAAAAGAAGAAAAAAAGAAACCTCAAAGCGTTTTGCAAAAAAGATAAAACAACAAAATTATCATTAAGAAGAACTCACAAGAACTATTTAAGGCTTTTGAAAAGTTAGGTAAAGGTAAAGGTACCCCTGCCCGTACGGGCCAGTCTTGACAGACTCTAGGGTTGTGCGCTCATCTCACTCTATAGGCCGGGAGCCAGCGCTGTCCGCAGACACTTCCGGGTCACGTGGCCAGCGTGACAAGCTGCATCTGGCGAGCCAGCGCAGCACACGGAACGCCGTTTACCTTCCCGCTAGTAAGCGGTCCCTATTTATCTACTTGCACCCGGGGGTGCTTTCAAACTGCTAGGTTGGCAGGCGCTGGGACCGAGCGACGGGAGTGCACCCCACCGCGGGGATTCGAACCGCCAACTATGCGATCGGCAAGTCCTAGGCGCTGAGGTTTTACCCACAGCGCCACCCGCGTCCCGTTTTGAAAAGTTAAAACGGACTAAAAAGAGAATAAAACTCGCATTGACTTTCTGAACGTCTAGTTAGGCTTGTCTGAACAAGAGTGGTTTGAAAAGATTCAGGGAGTCCCAAAGTGTAAGTGCTGCCACACTAAAAGACGGAGTTCTTAGAAACACAGAAGAGGGGTTATGTGGCACCCATTGTAGTGCCAGTTCCGCAGACTGAAGCGTTTGATTGGGCAGAAGTGGGGTAAGGCGATGTTGCAGGTAAACTGCTCCCAAGTGGTTTAGGGCTTTCTATGCTTCTAGGAACACCTTGAACTTGGCCCAGCGGCAAACTGGCAACCAGTGCAGCTCTTTAAGCAGAGGTGTTGCATTTCAGCAAGGCTCTGTTCCTGTCAGCAATCGCGCTGCAGCATTCTTAACTTACAGCAGCTTCTGGGGGAAATACACAGGAAGCCCCACAAAGAGTGCACTTGTGGGGAAGGGCAGCGGAAAGAGACGCCACCTGGGACTGACGGAAGATGGGCATTACCTGCGGGGCTCCAGCGGCACCATTCTGCTGCATGCCATCCTTTTCAAAGAAGAAGGGTCGGGCGTCTCTGATTTCAGGTCCGTGCTGCTGAGTTGGCACAAGAGAGCGTGGCACAGCTTTGAGAGCAGCGGGAGCTGGCTGGTGCAGTCCTCCAGAGCCAGGACTCCCTCCCGGAGGGACACAAGAGCCTGGAACAGGGTTATTTATTTATTTATTTATTTAAGTAATGGAAAAACTTTTTAAATAAAACTTTATTTTTTTATTTCTGATTTCACACAATTTCTTTCTTTCTTTCTTTCTTTCTTTCTTCTTTCTTTTTTGAGTTTTATTTATTTATTAACATTCTTATGTTACATCGGTAAACATTATCATATTACATCACAAGGCTTATTATAATATACCATAATTTTCAGCATGTATACAAAGTTTATATACAAAGTTTATATACCTAAAGAAAAGAAACAAGGACAAAAAACTATTCCAAAATCATATATGTACCAACACTTTGGACTTCCTGTCTATCCCGTTATATATTCCTTTTCCACAAATGAATGTACTCTTATTATTGTATATTTCTTTACATTTTATCTAGTACATTCCTATATCAATATGTACCCTTGGTCTCATTCCTCAACTCAATCTCTCTCCAACGTCAATGGGTGGATTGATGATTGACGCAATTTCATGCCATGACCCGGAGCCCAACCCGTGAGCCCGCAGAGAGTTGCCTGTATTCAATACAGGCCCATTAGAATTTCCATTTTAAAGGATATTTGCAAAACCATATTGAAAAATCAGAACTCCTATTAGAATAAACAAGTTCCATTTTAAATACTGGAATACTAAATAAGATGGATAACAATGTGTAATAGAAAAAGAAGCATGAAATTAGGTTAAAGGTGTGTGAAAGAAAGCAATAGAAGTGGAAAGAAATTGCAATTGAGTAGATTGGAAGTCTAACACAAAGGTGGGGTGAGGGGTGGTGGATGGTGATGGGGAAAGGAATTATCTGTGGGATTGAGTGTAGGTATGTTTGAACATTTTTAAGGATTGTATGAAATGTATGTTTGTATGTTCGCAATATGTGTGTATTAATGTTGAATTGGACGCGGGTGGCGCTGTGGGTAAAAGCCTCAGCGCCTAGGGCTTGCCGATCGAAAGGTCGGTGGTTCGAATCCCCGCGGCGGGGTGCGCTCCCGTTGCTCGGTCCCAGCGCCTGCCAACCTAGCAGTTCAAAAGCACCCCCGGGTGCAAGTAGATAAATAGGGACCGCTTACTGGCGGGAAGGTAAACGGCGTTTCCGTGTGCTGCGCTGGTGCCGGCTCGCCAGAGCAGCTTTGTCACGCTGGCCACGTGACCCGGAAAGTGTCTCCGGACAGCGCTGGCCCCCGGCCTCTTAAGTGAGATGGGCACACAACCCCAGAGTCTGTCAAGACTGGCCCGTACGGGCAGGGGTACCTTTACCTTTACCTTTAATGCTGAATTATTTTAACAATAAAAACTTTTAAAAATTTTTTTAAAAAGAATTTCCATTTCAATGCACATTCAACAATTATGCCTAGCAGAGCCCTCACCATGACGTAGCTGGGGGTGCCCCTTCCTTCCCCCCTCACCACGCTGAGCAGATGCCTCAGGACAGGTTCGCTGTTATCCTTGTACGTTGCTACAGCCACCAAGAGCTCCATCCTTGCCCTGGGGAATGGTACAGGTGGTCAGCAGACTCAGAGAAAGAGCGCCGCTCTGCAGGAACGGCGCCAAGGGTTGGATCTCCAGTACAGGTGCCCACAAAATACTGTGTAGAGGCGCCCCCTGTTGCGAGTAACATCCCCGGACTAGATTTGGGGTACTTTGTCCCATCCGTATATTTGAGGGCTTTCTTTGAAAGAAACTCGGAGCGTTGTCATTAGCCTCAGATAGTTTTAGGTAACCTCAAGGAGTTTTGGATGGCTTCAGTGGGATTTCAAAGGGGCTTTAGAAGAGCCTCAAAGGAAGGGAGGATGTTTAAAGTGCCGTCCAGTGACTCCCGGAATCCTTATCTGGCTGAGATATGAGCTTGTTTTCTCGGAGCGTGTCTTTCCCCCTTATCATTTTTTAAAAGCTGTGGCACTGTGGGTCAAACCACAGAGCCTAGGACTTGCCGATCAGAAGGTCGGCGGTTCAAATCGCCGTGACGGGGTGAGCGCCCGTTGTTCGGTTCCTGCTCCTGCCAACCTAGCAGTTCGAAAGCACCTCAAAGTGCAAGTAGATAAATAGGTACTGCTCTGGCGGGAAGGTAAACAGCATTTCCGTGCGCTGCTCTGGTTCGCCAGAAGCGGCTTAGTCATGCTGGCCACATGACCCGGAAGCTGTACGCCGGCTCCCTTGGCCAATAATGCGAAAAGAGCGCCGCAACCCCAGAGTTGGCCACGACTGGACCTAATGGTCAGGGGTCCCTTTACCTTTACCTTTACTCACTCTGCTGAGGCTCACAGGAGACTTGCTTCAGGCGCCATCTTCTAACCAGAAGTCCATCACCCCCTGTTGTTTTAGGAGGAGGGCTTTTCTTGGGTGGGGGTGGCATGGGGGTTTTGGGTTCCAGTTCAAAGAGCACAGCAAACTCCCGACGCCTGCTTCTGAGCCCTGGGAGTCTTGCACTCACCTGTCTGGGAGGAGGGCCTGCTGAAGGAGGGTGGCACAGACCGCCCTGCAGTGGCGCTCCGTCAGCACACAGACAGCCTGGGCCAGGGAATGGCGCTGAGTTGCATCCTCTGATTGCTGCACATAGGAGCAAATGACAGCCACCAGGTCGGGGATCTAGAAAGGACAAGGTTGGGGGAAGCTCTGTAACCCTCATATATTTGGGGTGCCATTTATAAGAGCATAAGAGAATCCTTCTTATGTCCAGCATCATAATAAATGTTGGTTCAGGTGGGGGCAGGAATAGATATAGGGAAAGGAGAATTCCCTGGATGCCAAATCCAGGTTTGCGGCAAGGATTCTTTGGTGAGAGAACCCCAGAAGAGAACTAAAACAGGCAAAGGCAAAGTCCGGCCCTCCAGATGTTTGGGTCTACAATTCCCATCATCCCTGACCACTGGTCCTGTTAGCTAAGGATGATGGGAATTGTAGTCCTAAACATCTGGAGGGCCAGACTTTGCCTGTGCCTGATCTAAAATCACGAAACATGCAGCAAAGCAAAGCATAGAAATATAGGCTGTTAGATCTTTAAAAATACGTATTTCCAAGTGAGTTCCAAAATAGTCCCCTTTTCCCCCAGCATAGGAAAAGATCACATGTTTAGTAAGTTAAAAATGGTTTACAGTATTTACAAACTCTCCAAAGGTCAGGTTCATGTGCTTTCCCATACATCAGTCAGACAGGTTGCACAGGAAGTAAAACTTTGTTTACTTCCAAAGTGGTGGAAGTTCCTAAATTATTGGTATAGGAGCTCAAAAATGGCTGCTGAGAGCCATGCAGTTTGAGCTGGAGCAACCAGCTCAAAACCTCTTCACAGGCTGAGCTTCTCAGGTTGACTGAAGGTGCAACAATAGGCTAGTTTACCAATTTCCTCCCAATGTAAAGTAAATGGACACAGATAAGCCTGGCAGGACAGCTTATTCTATGATATTAACCCCTTCATGTGTTAATTAGACTTTGGTATGTTGGTTATATGAGGCTGGTTATCTCACAAGAACATCAGAAGGGTCTGCTAGACCCAGCATCCTTTTCTCACTGGGCTTCTGGGAAGCCCAGAATCTGGAACTAATCACAAGAGCCACCTCCTAAAATGGTGTCTCATCCACCTCTTTGGTAATCCAGCTCTCAAACTGGCCTCAATAGCTGACATAGGGAGAAAAATGATAATGAAGTGATACAGACTCCCTTGGAAAGTGGTGGATTCTCCTTCACTGGAACTTTTAAAACAGAGGTTGGATGGCCATCTGTCAGGATTCTTTAGCTGTGATTCCTGCATTGCAGGGGGTTGGACTAGATGACGCTTGGGGTCCCTTCCAACTCTACAATTGTAGGATTCTAGGAAGTGCAGGACCAAGTACAGGCTTTATTTTATACATTTATTTTATACATTTTCGTGCAACAAAATCTGAAAGCCCTTTAGGTCTAACCCAGCGTTTCCCAAACTTTTTTGGTTGATTCTATAAACTCAGTACCCCAGCACCCTACTATCCTACCCTACGGAAATCATTTTGCACCACCCACTGTGGAAGATAATAACACAAAGAAATCCAAAACGGTATTAATTGCACATTTATTCAAAATCCATTTCAAACTGTTTTGTTGAATTAATTCAACAAAACTGATGAACAACCCAGCGATAGCCTGATAGCTGTTTACACCTCCAGCCACCCAATTGCCTCTTAGCGCCTCCCTAGGTAATCCCACTGCCCCCCACGGGGGGCGCTACCTCCCACTTTGGGAACCGCCAGTCAAGTCCCTCCCTCACCCGGCCCTTACCTTGTCCTTCAAGGCTGCCCTCTGCTCCTTCACAACCACCTCAAACCACAGGAGGACGGCCTGGTCGCAGGTGGGGCTCACAGCTCTCAGCTGCTCCAGCAAGGTGCGCAGGAAGGCCAGGATCTCTTGCGGGGGCAGAGCGCGGCTGACAACCTGAGCCGGGGCAGGAAGGTAGTGGGGATAAAGTGATTAGATGTGCCCCACCTTTGGTTGCCATTTCCACACCCTCTCCTTCCTTGGGCAGGTGCTGTGACCTAACTTAGGGTCATGGAGGTTCTGGGGTATTTTGGAGGGTGGGGGGCAGGGATAGGTGTATGACAGGGTTGAAATAGTTTTGTTACTATATTTACCAAGCAGGGTGCCTGCAAGTGGATCTCTTGGGATCCTACATGGAGGTGAGAGCAAGGTTATAAAAAGGATCTCTCCACCCCCCAACTCCCAAAAGCCCCCTGCCAGAGTCTTGCCTGCCTACCTGCCCTTCTCTGGGTTTCACTGGGATGGTTGCCTGGCAGAAGATCAGTGGCGTAGCGTGGGGGGTGCAGGGGGGGCCGGCCGCACCAGGCGCAACATCTGGGGTTAGGGCAAATCCACAGGTTAGGGGGCGCAAATCCACGGGTTAGAGGGCGCAAATCCACGGGTTAGGGGCGCAAATTACTTGCCTTGCCCCGGGTGCTGACAACCCACGCTACGCCACTGCAGAAGATGAGGCCAGAGCATGGGGAGAGATGGATCAATCTGCCCATTGCCCTTCTCTCTGTTTCTCATTTCCCCCCCTAATCTTAAATGGACTTCTCCAAGTTTGCAGCAATTTGCGATTTTCCTTTTTCATCCTCAGGGATATCCAGTGTGCTGTAGTGGTTAGAGTGTCAGACTAGGACCTGGAAGACTAGGGTTCAAATCCCCCATTTGGCCACAAAGTTCACATGGGGGGGGGCAGTCCCTGCCTCTCAGCCTAACCTTCCTCACAGGGTTATTGTGGGGATTAAATGAGGAGGGGGCGAAACATGGATGCCACTTTGAGCTCCTTGGAGAAAAAGGTGGGATATACAGTGGTACCTCAGGTTAAGTACTTAATTCGTTCCAGAGGTCCGTACTTAACCTGAAACTGTTCTTAACATGAAGCACCACTTTAGCTAATGGGGCCTCCTGCTGCCACCGCGCTGCCGGAGCACAATTTCTGTTCTCATCCTGAAGCAAAGTTCTTAACCCAAGGTAATATTTCTGGGTTAGTGGAGTCTGTAAACTGAAGCGTCTGTAACCTGAAGCATATGTAACCCGAGGTACCACTGTACATGCAATAAAGAAAAACCTGCCAGCTTGTTAGTGCAGATATTTTCCTTTTTGGTATGCACATTTTGCCTGATACTCGGAGCTTGCAGGAAGGTAAAGAGACCTCCCCTAGGCCTTGTGGTTAAGGGTTAGGGCTTGGATTTGGGACTCCTGATCCATGTCCCAGCTCCCAGTGCTTATCACACCAGGATGTTGGTGGGTCGACCCAGCTCTTCAAAAGGATTGCCACCTATCTGGCTTTCCCCATTGCTTTAAGGACACCACAACGGGTAGACATGGGAAAGGCGGGTGCTTTTCTCATTACTGAACCTCTTTGCTGCACCTGTTGAACTTCTGCCTTGCCTAAAAGGTGGCAACCCTTGGCTGGCACTGGCATCATCCAGGGCCAAGGCACGTGTCCCTTGCCACATGATCTACCGCCCTAGGAGGATGAATCCTGCCTAGGGGTGCTATTCTCCAGGTCGAAACCTTCTCCCAAACACCTGCCTCCTGAGGTCCACTCCCTACAATACCTTCGCCAGCTGGAGAGAGGCCGTGCGCACCTCCCGGGGGCTGCTCTCGCTCCGGAGCTTGCGTTGGATGCAGTGGAGCTGCCAGGCCACCAAGCGGCCCCTTGGCCTTTGGGTGCCTGCAGGAGATACCCAAGAAGGGAGATTTTGACTCAACATCAGAAAGAACTCTCTGATGACAAGAGCCGCTTGACCATGGGATGGACGCCCTCGGAAGCTGACGGACTCTCCTTCCTTGGAGGTTTTGAAGCAGAGGTTGGGTGGTCCTCTGTCAGGGGATTCTTGAGCTGTGATTCCTGGCTTGCAGGGAGTTGATGATCTTTGGAGATCCCCTTCCAACACTATAATTCTATGTCTCCCGCACCTTCCGGCATCCTGTTCTCACAGTGATCAACTAGATTCCCTAATGGGAAGCCCGTAAATGGGATCTGGGCATAACAGCATCCTCGCTTGGTTGTGAAGCTCACATGGGTGTGACCTTGCACCTCTTAGCCTAGCCTACCTCACAGGGTTGTTGTGAGGGTGAAATGGGGAGGAGGAGAACCATGTACGCCACCTTGAGGTCTTTGGAAGATAAAGGTGGTATCTTAATTCATTGATCGGTTAAATAAATAGTGAATTAGCACACTGGTCCCTGTTGCCCAATACTGCCTGCACCAACTGGCAGCAACTCTCCAGAGTTGAGGATGGAATGGGGAGTTCCTCCCAAGTAAGGAAGACCTACATTGCGAAAGGGGCTAGACAAGCTCACCTTGGGTGCTTAGCAAGACCCTGATGCAGTCGACGGCACCCTGCCGGATGCTGCCCAGCACGTCACAGGTGAAAGGCCCCAGCGCCCCAGCCAGGCGGCTGAATTGCTCCGGGGGGATCCGTGGCTGTGCAAAAAGAAAGGAAGCTGCCATATACCAATTCAGGCCATTTGTCTGCATTGTCCACACTGACTGGCAGCTAAGACTCTGCCCCTAGGAATAAAGCAAGATTCTGGTCCTCAATATTCTGAATGCACTAGGAACCCAGGTCAGGCTTGTAAGAAGAAGCAACCTTTGCACTGGTAATTTTTTTAGGAACACAGGAAGCTGCCTTATGCTGAGTCAAACCATTAACTGATCTTGCTCAATACTGTCTCCACTGACTGGCAGCAGTGTCTGTCCAGAGTTTCAGGCTGGGGATGTTCCCTGCCTTACCTGGAGACGCCAGGGATTGAACCTGGGACCTTGTGCATGCAAGGCAAATCTTCCACCACTGAGCTATGGCCCTTCCCCAAAATAAGATTCTAGTCCTCATGGTTTGGAATCAAGGACTGTCAAGTAGGAGCATCAAAAGCTGCCTTATATCAAGTGAGACCATTGATCCATCTGAGTATGGCCTTACTCACGGAAGCGCTGGTCTTCTGGCAATGGGCCCGAAGCAAGTGCACCCCAAGCTGCAAAGCCCGGGCACGCTCCCATTCCCGCTCCGACACCATCCAGTACCCCAGGAGCTGCAGGGGAAATGGAGGAGAGGGGGAGGAAGAATCAGCCCCTGGCCTGAACCAGCCCGTCTTTGCCCTGGCAACACAAAAGTAATGCTGGTTAACTGCGGGCAAGGCTCTCCCTCCCAGAAACCCCACAGAGCGAGTTGGAGGGTGGTGCATGTCTAGAGAATGTCCTGCTAGCAGAGCTGGATTCGAGATTGGAGGGGGCAGTCCTCTTGGCCCTTGCAGGGTGTAGTAGTTCATCATTCCAGATGGGGCCTGCTTGGTGTTGGCCCCACTAATTGTGAAACCTACTTCCAGCAAGCATTCACTCAATGCCTTTACTTCTAGAGGTCAAGAAAGCCCCCCAAAGTGATCTTTTCCCTTCTCAAGAGAGCTTTAGCTGATCTAATCCAACTGAGTCTCTCTATCTCCCCTCAGAATGTGTTGTATTCTGCCTGAGCCTCTGTCGTTTTTGATCTTTTGTTGTACGTCGCCTTGCTCTGAATGGAAGCTTAATGGAGAACTGGGGTGATGCAAATAAATGAATACACACAGCTCTGGCTTCTCAAGAGCCCCACTGTCATGGACTGGTTGGACACAGAGGAGTGGTGGGAGGAACCAGCAGGGGAACCCCCAAGGGAAGAAGGCTCAGAGTCAGGGGAGTGGTGGTGGCACAACAATGAGTGGTCAGAGGGAGAAGACTGGGAAGTGAAGGTGTCAGAAGCTGAAGAGGTAACAGGGTTTAGTGAGCAGGGAGAGTCTGTGGCAGCGAGAAATCCAGACTCAGAGGCAGAAGCTGAAGCAGGAGAGGAGGGAGGCCAAGAGGCAGAGAGGAGTCACAAGTGTCTCCCCCTCCTGCTGTGACCAGCTCCCCTTCCCTTTTGTCTCCTAGAACCATAAGAGGCATGAAGAGGGCAGAGGAGAAGTTAGCTTCATGCAGGCGTAGTCTCAGATTGCTTGGGGGAAATCCTGAAGAGGAGGGGACTTAGATGGTAGGGAAGAGGTGGGGATTTTCAGTCCTGGCGACTGATTTTCATCGAGTAAGACTGCTGGGAATGAACTGCTCTGCTCATTAGGCCTGACACTCCACCAAGTCTGTGGAGATCACGTTTTTGCTAATAAAGAATTATCTCCAACTTTGAACTGTGTTATTACCAACCTGTACGCTCCTGTGACATCTACTTTGCCCTCCCTCTGGCCTGGGAGCAAAATGTGGGAGGAGAGGAAAAGGAGAGCAGCCAGGAGAAGACAGATTTAGCAATGAGGGTTAGAAACTTGACACAGAGGCTACCTCCCGCCCTGCTCACCTGGAAGGCCTGTTGGAACCACTGCAAATTGGCACTCTCCCTTTGCTCCACCCTCACCACCTCTTCCTCCAGCAGAGTCTCCACCAGTTCCGACAGGGATGTCAGGGCACCCGTATGCAGCGCTTGAACGCTGGAAGGCAGCGGTGCCTAGTGGTGCAGAAGGAGCAGAATGCTGCTGTGGTTTTTTATTTAACAAAATCGGTGTACCACTTGAGGGTACTAAATCCTCAAAAAGATTTATGAGGACCATTTTGCAGCCCCTGGAGTGCTCCTCTTTCAGCAGGCAATCAGCTCCCAAGCAGCCAGCCCCGTCCCAACACACATGCACACCTGGCCTACATCCTCTGCCAGCCCCAAAGGAGGAAGAGCGAAGACGCTGCTCAGGGCCGCCTCTGCCAGCGCCTGGTTCCCCTCCTGGCTCAGCTGCTCTGGCACATGGCTGAAGGGAGAAGAGGAAGGTTGTCAGGGTTAACATCTTTCTTGACCATCCCTGAGTCTGTATTGCAGTGGGTTGGACTAGATGACCCTTGGGGTTTCCTTCCAACTTGAGAATTCTATGCGTTCCGGAGCCAAAGTGGCTGAGGGCTCCATATCTGGGTAACCCAAAGGTAGATTCCCACGCAAAAAGTTTGCCAGCTGATGCCTGCAGCAGCCAGTGGGGGGCTGCATTTGTGAACAACCCATCCCAGAGGCCGGCAGGCCATTAACGGCAGAGAAACTAAACAGTGGAAAAAGGCTGGGTCACACCCTGACCTGGAAAAACAAAATATTCTTTTAAGATGAACGAGGGCTGTCTGCGGTAATATGGCACTCTGTGTATGTTCAGAGGCGCTTGGGGTTCCAGAACTAAACTTGGGCTTTGAAATCAGAGCTTGAAAGTGGCTCAGATGGATGGACACCCCATAAAAAGAAGGGGTGCTGGAAATGGGGTACTCACCTCAAGTGCCGGAGGGCAACCATCACTTGCTGGCGGACGGGGGATACAAGGGCGTCGAGGGGCTCTGCTTTGATAATGTCCTGGAACAAATGCCGTGCAAGGGAAGTTCATGGCATGGGCAATGAACCCTTGGTCAGGAAGAAAGTCAAGACCTTGGCTTGAATCCTTCTAAAGGATACTCCCCAAAGGGTTGCTATCCTTTGGGCAGCACACATTAGGCCGTCACTCACCTTCCAGGGCAGACCTGGTGGGTGACCAGGGCAAGTGAAAATTTGACGTCATTCATGGCCATCTGTCAGGGGTGCTTTAGCTGAGATTCCTGCATTGCTGGGGTTGGACTGGATGACCCTGAGGGTCCCTTCCAAGTCCACAATTCTATGATTCTCCCCACCAGCAGCTCTTCAGGGCATGAGCTACTGACCACCCCCCACCCAACCAGAATTAAAAAACCACACTTTATTAACCCTTCCCAATGGCTTCGCCTAAGCGCAGACCAAAGCAACTCACTACGAGGAGGTCAAGCAGGAGGCGTTTTTGGGGCAGGCAGAAGGTTGGGGCATCGCCTTTGCTCAGGATCGAAAGGCTGATCTCAGACACACACTGGGAGAAGCTCAGGGCCAGCTCAGCATCCGTGGCTCCCTGGGGAGGGACAGGAAAGAGGAGGAAGGAGGCTGGCTCCACAGGGATAAAGACATACATACATATATACATACATACCTTTCCTTGATGAGGTTATGAGGAAGCTCTGAATGGAGGGCAGAGTCTCATAGCCTTGCTAATAAAGACTCCTTTGTCCCGTGGAGTGTTTCATTCCATCCATCACACCCTTGTCATCATGTACTCCCGGAACAGCGATCAAAAGGAACATACACTGGAATTACGCTTTCTCTCCTGGCTTCTAAACCCACCGCTCCCATCACAGAAAAGGAATGTGGGATATTGGAGCCTATCTGGCTCAGTATTGCTGAACCCTGATTGGCAGTGACTATCCGGGGTTTTAGACAGGTGACAGCCCTGCCAGGAGACGCTGTTGGGGATTGAACCTGGGACCTCCTGCAGATTCTTTATGACTGAGCTGTAGTATGTGGGAAGCTGACTCATACCGAGTCAGAACCATTGTCGTGGGCTGGTTGGATGTGGAGGAGTGGTGGGAGGCGCCGGCTGGGGAACCCCCAGGGGAAGAAGGCTCAGAGCCAGGGGATTGGTGGTGAGACAGCAATGAGTGGTCAGAGGAAGCAGACTAGGAGGAGGAGGAGGTGTCAGGAGCGGAGGAGGTAACAGGGTTTAGTGAACAGGAAGAGGCTGTGGCAGAGAGCAGTCCAGAGGCAGAGGCAGAAGAGGAGGTGGAGACCAAGAGGCAGAGATGAGGCAGGCTGCTGAAGAAGCCAGGGACTCTCCCTCCTGCTCTGACCAGCTCCCCTCTCCGATGGTCTCCCAGAACCAGAAGAGGTATGAAGAGGGCGGAGGAAATACAGGCAAGACGACAAAGCCTCAGATCGCTTGGAAAGAACTTAGGCAGCTGTGGGAAGGCAGGGATCTTCAGTCCTCACAACTGCCTCCTTCAGGCAAGCTCTACCAGGAAAAGTTGATGTGCTCCATAGGCCTGAGCTGTCTTGTTGCTTTGAATAAAGAGTTAACTTCACGGACACCATGTGAGTTATTGCTGACCTACTCCTGACAGCCGCTCCTGACAACCATAAAGGTCCGTGTCGTCTGCACTGACTGGTAGCAGCTCTCCAGGGTTTCAGGCAGAGGAGAATCTCAGACCTGCCTGGAGATGCTGACAGGGACTGAACCTGGGACCTTCTGCATGCAGGGCAGGTGCTCTGACTCTGAGCTATGATGGTCCTTTCCCTGAAAAAGGAAAGCTAGTTAAACAACTCCCAGCCAGCCCCACAACCTGTGCGTATCAAGTAGGTACCTTTTTTCGCCCAGTGGGGCAGCCCAGTTCCTGCAAGACAGAAAGGACAGCTGTCAGAATGGCCCCCATTCTGTCTCCTTCCTCTTGGGCTATGTCCCTCTGTCCCTCCACTGACAATTCCTGGCCAATGACAGGAAGTTGAGAAATCCAGTGAGCACCTGCTTCCCACCTCCTCCTTTTTCATTTATTAGCACCCACTGCCACCTTCTCCAATGCTGCACCCTTCAGGTGTTTGGGAACACAATTCCCACCAGGCCCCTACTGCACCCAGTGGGCACCAGGTTGGGGAAGGCCGATGTGTTGCATCTAGACTACCTCCATGACTGCAGCCTCGAAAGTGGTAGCCACCCACTTTTGCTTCCACAACAACCCTGCGAGATAGATTAAGCACAGAGAAAAGGTACTTTGCCCAGTGTCACCCTGTTGAGTAGCTGGGTGGGATTACAACCCACTGACCCACATGTGAGCCACAAGCTAAGCAAGGCTCCCCACGGGCACCCCCTTTGCAGTGCCCTCTGCCCTATTTCTAGTTAGCTCCCTCCCAGGTGCCCCTCTACCCCTCCTGCCCATACTCTGGCCCCGATCCTTATCCCTGCTCCCCTCCATTTGTGGTAGAGAAGACTCACCGCAAAGTAAGTCAACTCTGGGCCGCTAGATGTGTAATGGCGCAGGATCCGTGGCACAATCTCGCTCGCCAGCAGAGGCAGAAGCTGTTCCCGGGGGGCACGGACCGCCATGCTGCCATAAAGCAGAAGGAGGGCGCTCTTCACGCTGCTTCTCCCTGGCTCCGGCAAGCTCTATGGTTGAGGAGGAAGATTCGCATTCGTGGCAAAGCAGTCTCATCTCCCAGGGCTCCCATTTGCCTCCATAAGCGGGAGCAGAAGACTCTTCTGATGAGAGTTTCAGTCACTCGCTCTGCAACTGAGCTATGGCCCTGGAAATGGTAAATTCTGCTCTCATGCCTTCCCAACTCCACAGCCGCTGGGGGAGAGAGGGAAGAAAGAAAAGGGAGGAAGCAGGGAAGTCTGAACCTGGCCAAAGTGATGGTAAGCTGAATCCTCCCCCTCGGAGATCACCTCCTCAAAACGACTCAGAGTCTGGAGCACAGCCGTCAGCTGTCCCTCAGCGCAATAGACCACACACCAGCAAACCCCCTGTGGGAGAGAAGGAATGACCCTAGGCTGTAACCACCTTCCTGAAAAATCCGGACTCCCTCCCACAGGATCCAGTCCCGCCCGCTTTTCCATCTTCTTCCTGGAGGGAGATTCTGACTAAACATCGGCAAGAACTTTCTGAGGGTAAGAGCTGTTCAACTATGGAACGGACTCCCTCTAAGGTGGTGGGCTATCCTTCATTGGAGGCTTTTCAACAGAGCTCAGATGCACACCTGTGGGGTTTTATTTAGTTTCGATTCCTGCATTTCAGGAAGAATCCATGACCCACAGACATCCAGCCTCCAGTGAAGGAGAGTCGACTATCCGCCAAGTTCCCGGAACCATAGAATTGTAGAGTTGGAAGGGATCCCCCTGTTAGAATTCCTGCTCCACGATTGCAGTCATGGGATTTTTGTCTTTCACATGATGGTATATGTTTTGACTCCACAGAGTGGGAAGTGGCGGAGACAGGATGTTTGTGTTACTGTGTTCCGTGAAGTGGGACTATTGTCCTTTGTTCTTTTTCTCTTTGCTGTCTGATGCTAGAGGGAGAGGGAGCCATGTTGCAGTGCTCTGTGTGTAAATAAAGCTCTATATGTAAATAAAGTAGATTAGCCAAAATGCTGAGTTGCTGAGGTCTGTCAAGCAAACTGTGCAAAGTCTGCGGATCCCTAAGTGTGCCGGTGTCGGTTGGCATCGGTCGCTGTGACGTTTGGGCTGAAGAAAGCTTTTGAAGCTCCCAAACAATCAACCAGGAGGGAGGGAACATGCCAGTCGGGCATGTGTCTCTGCTAGGGTCCTACTCGAGTGTAGGCTGAGCTCCTGACACCCCGAGGATCGTCAAGTCCAATCCCCTGCAAGGCAGGAATCACAGCTTGATCTCTGGAACCGTTGTGCCAAATTTGGTGATGATATCTTGCATGGGTACATTTGGTGGGGGTGGGGGAGGGAAGCAGGTTAATGCAGGGCGTACGACCCCCCTCCCAAGTAGCAGGGCTTGCCTTCCGCTGGGCTTCCTCCGTGTAATCTGTGTGCAGCAGCAGATCCAGAAGTGTCTGCGCCACCCCATCTGCGTCCCTTGCGGCAGACAGTGCCATCCCCAAGGCCTTGTAGAGGAAGCCCTAGAGGGGAGAGGGAGGGTGGTGGCAAGCTGAGCAGCGCAGATCCCAGCCAGCCAACGACATAGCAGACACACACATCCACAACCAAGGTGTCTCACCCATGGCGGCCAAGACCTTAGACATAATTTACCTCCAGTATACAGTGGTACCTCGGGTTACATACGCTTCAGGTTACAGACTCCGCTAACCCAGAAATAGTACCTCGGGTTAAGAACTTTGCTTCAGGATAAGAACAGAAACTGGGATCCGGCGGTGCGGTGGCAGCGGGAGGCCCCATTAGCTAAAGTGGTGCTTCAGGTTAAGAACAGTTTCAGGTTAAGAGTGGACCTCCGGAACGAATTAAGTACTTAACCCGAGGTACCACTGTATTAGAAGGACCTGCAGCTGGGCCAAAGGAGGCCCATCTTAGACTAGCATCCTCTTCACATCGTGGCCACCCAGACACACCAGTGGGAAACCTGCAAGCAGGACCTGAGTGCAACAGCAACCCTCTCCTCTACTGGCATTCAGAAGCATCGCTGCCTCCGACCATGGACGCAGAGCAGAGCCATCAAGGCTAAGAAGCACCAACAGCCATCTCCTTCAAGCATTTGCCTAATCCTCTTTTAAAGCCATCTAGGTTAGACTAGGTTAGATGCGGGTGGCGCTGTGGGTTAAACCACAGAGTCTAGGACTTGCCAATCAGAAGGCTGGCAGTTTGAATCCCCGCCACAGGGTGAGCTCCCATTGCTCGGTCCCTGCTCCTGCCAACCTAGCAGTTCGAAAGCACGTCAAAGTGCAAGTAGATAAATAGGTACCGCTCCAGCGGGAAGGTAAATGGCGTTTCCGTGCGCTGCTCTGGTTCGCCAGAAGTGGCTTAGTCATGCTGGCCACATGACCCAGAAGCTGTATGCCTGCTGCCTCAGCCAATAAAGCGAGATGAGCGCCGCAACCCCAGAGTCGGCCACGACTGGAACTAATGGTCAGGGGACCCTTTACCTTTACCTTTACTAGGTTAGACTGGAGAAATGCACAGAGGAAAGGGCTGTCAAAAAATTCAGAGAAGCGCAAATTTCGAAGGGCGGGCATGCGTTTCGATTTGTGAATTGCTTCACAAAGTGCTTTGGCTTTGCAGGTGAACCAGATCAAATTCATCCCCCGCCCCTTTGGCGAATGCTCCAGTCCAGCTGTTCATAGGAAGGTGAGGGGCTGGGCATTCATTGTGCACAGCTGGATAGGGAGATACCCGATATTTGGGGGGGGGGCAGAGGGAAAGCACTGACTTTCTCCGCAGAGGAGTTGTGGTAGGTGTTCAGCTGCTTGGCGAGTTCCTTCCCCAGCACCAGGTTCCAGCCTCCCGCTTCGCTCCTCCGTAAGGACTTCTGCAGGAACTGAGGAGGCACCGGTGGAAACAGGGGTCACCGAGGAGGATCAGCAATGCCACAGGAACAGCTGGTTTGCTCGCCCCACTGGCGTTACCTCCAAGAGTTTGGCTTCCCAGGCTGCGGGCTCGAGTGTGTACTTGCTGTGGCCTTTGGGAGAGGAGCAGCATTAGACAGAGTCAGAACAGCCAGCTCAGTGCTGCCTATCCAGGCTGGCAGCAGCTCTCCAGGGCTTGAGGCAGGGGGTGCCACTGGGGAGTGGAGTCAGTGCTCCTTTTGGGGAAGCCAAGGAGGGCTGGGTGATTCTGGCATAGGCTGGAGATGGGCCAGAGTCACACCCATAGATAACCCGCAATCATAAAAATAAGGTGCCACCCAGTAACATATAGAAACCACTGCCAGACTGGGGTTGCGGCTGGCACCTGAACCACTCTTGCGATAGGGCCATGCCACAGATCTGCACCAACTGTGCCAATTTAGGCAGACTTTCAGAGGGGGGAAGAACTCTGTAGGACTCTTGCTGTCAGGGGTTACTCTGACTCACTAACAGTATTTCCCTGGCCAAGTGAATTAATTACTGTTGTTATTATTGCGCGTGAATTTTGATGCTGCTTATTGCCAGATTAGACCTCTAAGGATTCATCTGCAATTGAGCAGATCTAGGTGGTGGGTGGGTGGGGCCTCTCCAGCACTGTTCTGGGGAGAGAGCTGGCATGGTGTCATGTTTAGAGTGTTGGATTAGGATCTGGGATAGACCAGGATTCGAATCCTTACTTGGCCATGAAACTCACTGGGGGCCTCAGGGGCCAGCCACTGCCTCTCACCTTAACTTAACTCACAGGCTTGTTGTGGGGATTACATGAGGAGTAGGGGCAGAACCCACAGTGCCACCTCGAGTTCCTTGGAGAAAAAAGTGGGATATAAATGCAACAAATTGCATAAAATGCATTCCATAGTGGAATACAAGGCTCATATTTATTCAAAACATGCCAAATATATGTGAAGGTTGCCAAATGCTACTCATTCCTTTTTTAAAGCTTCCTATTATTGTTTTCTGATTCTGCTATCTTGTGTTTTTATTCCTCTTGTTCTTATGACTGTTCTGATTGTTATTTTTAGCTTGATGTTTTGTTTGTTTTTATGTTTATTGCATCTGCAGATAAAATAAAAAATATATAAACCAATAAATGCAACCCATAAATGCAGTAAATAAATAATTTATATATTCCCCCCCAAAAGGCTTTTTTTGTTTTGTTTTCTTCTTCTTTTTTAGGGGAAGAGTCAGGAGATTCCAGGCTCAGGCCTGGTGGCAGATGTGGAGGTGCTGGCTTGGTCGGACACCATCCTAGAGGAGAGGTCATCCGCCAGCAACTCTTGGCAAAAATTGACCCTCTGCACACACAGGTGTGTCAGCTGAGCTCGGCAGGGCAGGGCAGGATTGGTTTTTCCTCTCATCTCACCTTCCAGGTAGCGGACCAGGGCAGGTATCTCCACCCACCAGTGCTCCCCCACATCCCTGTAGGCCTCTGGACGTAGGGCGTTCATCAGGAGCAGCACGGCAGCTCCTCGGCCGGTCCCTTCCAAGGGGGAGACAGCGAGGGCCTGCAGAGGAGGAGAGCAAGGGTCTCTAGGTCAGGAAGGTGGTTCACCCAGGTCAGGCTGCTTCCACCTCTGTGGCCTTCTGGAGTCTGGAGGCCGCTGGGGTCCCATCCTCACCAGCCTAAAACCACACCCAACACAAACTGGTAGGGAGGCTTTATTTACTTATTTTTAAACAAGTCACCTGTTTCAGCTAACTCTCTATTTTCTACTGTTATAATAATTATATGATAAATGTTCATAACTCCATATATAAAGCACATGTCTGAAACCCCACAGAAAAGGTCCTGAAACTATTTTGTCCCTCCCAAATTGACCTCAAATATTTCTCTGCAAGGCTGAAGGAAAATGGAAAAGCCTCCCCATTGTCTTTTTGTTCACAAATCCTGTCTTAAGGGTATGTCTGTGTATGAATAGGGTGAGCCTGTAGCCTGGCTCAGGAACTAAGTATTTATCATTACGAATGACTGGCCAGGCTCCCCAGGTAATCTATTCAAGTGACCATTAACTGGTAACCTGCCAGACAGGAGATAAACAACGCACTCAGATTTCTGTTGTAGACATCCTCTTCTGTGATGTATGTATGATGTTTCTGGGGGTGGTCTTGGACTCCAGGGCGGGCAATTTAAAATGTCTATATAAGGGTGGGCACACCTTTGTTCTGGGTCCTCCTCCGTCCTCCTGCGTGTGAGGGGAGCACCCTGTTGCAACAGCTTTAATACAGTGTTTCCCAACCGGTGTTCCGCGGCACACTAGTGTGCCGCGAGAGGTTGCCTGGTGTGCCGCGGGAAAAATTGGCGGGGGGGGGGGGAATAAAGGGGGAAAAAAAATATTCCCCCACCGCCAGGCGTGGGGCTGGGGCGGGGGAAGCCCGAGCTTCCCCCTCCCCCAGAACGGGACCCAGAGCCATGCCGAAGCTGCGCGCAGCTTTGGCATCGCTCTGGGAGCTTGCGGGGCTGGGGGAGGAGGAAGCCCTCCGCCAGCCTCCAAACCATGTCGGGAGACAGCGGGATGGCGCGCTGCGCCTCTCCCGCTGTCCCCCGAGTTTGCAGGGCTGGCGATGGGGAGGAGCAGGCTTCTCCCCCCGCCAGCCTTCCAGCCAAGTCGGGGGGCAGCGGCAAGGGTGCGCTGCGCCTCTCCCGCTGTCCCCCGAGTTTGCAGGGCTGGCGATGGGGAGGAGCAGGCTTCTCCCCCCGCCAGCCTTCCAGCCAAGTCGGGGGGCAGCGGCAAGGGCGCGCTGCGCCTCTCCCGCTGTCCCCCGAGTTTGCAGGGCTGGCGATGCGGAGGAGCAGGCTTCTCCCCCCGCCAGCCTTCCAGCCAAGTCGGGGGGGCAGCGGCAAGGGCGCGCTGCGCCTCTCCCGCTGTCCCCCGAGTTTGCAGGGCTGGCGATGGGGAGGAGCAGGCTTCTCCCCCCGCCAGCCTTCCAGCCAAGTCGGGGGGCAGCGGCAAGGGCGCGCTGCGCCTCTCCCACTGTCCCCCGAGTTTGCAGGGCTGGCGATGGGGAGGAGCAGGCTTCTCCCCCCGCCAGCCTTCCAGCCAAGTCGGGGGCAGCGGCAAGGGCGCGCTGCGCCTCTCCCGCTGTCCCCCGAGTTTGCAGGGCTGGCGATGGGGAGGAGCAGGCTTCTCCCCCCGCCAGCCTTCCAACCAAGTCGGGGGGCAGCGGCAAGGGCACGCTGCCTTTCTCCGCTCTCCTGGGAAGGCAGGCAGGGGGGAGCAAAGGCTTTCGCCCCCGCCCGCCTTCAGAAGAGGTCAAGGACCTTCAAAAGCCATCCGGGACAGCGGAGAAACGCGCTGCCTTTCTCCGCTCTCCCGGGAAGGCAGGCAGGGGGGAGCAAAGACTTTCGCCCCCGCCCACCTTCAGAAGAGGTCCAGCTGCGCGCTGACGTCACGGGGCTGTAATGGTGGTGTGCCTCGAGATTTTTTTCATGAAACAAGTGTGCCTTTGCCCAAAAAGGTTGGGAAACACTGCTTTAATAAAGATCAGGCTTACTAGCTGTTTTGCTTCTCAATATTCTCTGGTTGGCCTCTGTTATTATCTCCTACCAATCGGGGAATCCACGTAAGGACTCTATATGGGCTCTTGTATACCCCTTAAGGGAAAAAGGGCAGATTTTGTTTACAACACTACACACCAACTTGCAGCAATGTCTCTGAAGGGTTTTAGGTAGGGAAAGGGGGTCTCTCGCAGCCCTACCTGGCGATGCCAGTGGGGATTGTAATGGGGCCCATTCTGCATGCAAGGCAGGTGCTCTGCCACTGAACTGGGCCTCCAATCTTGTTTCTTAGGAAGCATATGTGGGTTCGGGTCCAGTTTCCTCCAAGAGTCTAGCAATGAGGCAGCCCCCTTTCAGAAACCACTAGAAGCCTGAACCACTCCCCACCCCTCCCCAGTTACCCACATCACTTACCAGGAGCCGCGCCATCAATTCTTGTGGAGTTGGTAAACCCCCTGGAAAGTGGAGAGAGGGAGAGAACAAGGGGGAGGGAAGTGGGGGCTGGTGTAAATAGGAACATAGTAAGAAGCTGCCCTTAGGGAGATAGAGAGTTGGCCCATCTGGCAGTGGGTTTCAGGCATGAGCCTTTCCCAACTCAGCCAGAGGACACTTGGGACTGAAGCTGGGGCCTTCTGCCTGCCAAGCAGCTTCTCAGCACTGAGCTGTGGCCCTTCCCATCCTGTGTCCCCCAAAATCCCCTGCAGACTGGCAGAGGACCCTGAGACAACTTCATCTGCATCCCTAAATCAATGGAATTGGAGAGGCATTTGGGGGCTGCCTGCAGTGGGGTAGGAGAGTTGAAAATAATGCCCAATAATGCCAAAATATTCCACATCTGGCAACAATTGTGCCCTGTTGGCTTCAGGTGGTACATGGGTAAGGTAAGGTAAAGGGACCCCTGACCATTAGGTCCAGTCGTGACCGACTCTGGGGTTGCGGCGCTCATCTCGCTTTATTGGCCGAGGGAGCCGGGTCATGTGGCCAGCATGACTAAGCCGTTTCTGGCAAACCAGAGCAGCACACAGAAACGCCGTTTATCTTCCCGCCGGAGCAGTACCTATTTATCTACTTGCACTTTGACGTGCTTTCGAACTGCTAGGTTGGCAGGAGCAGGGACCGAGCAACGGGAGCTCACCCCGTCACGGGGATTCGAACTGCCGACCTTCTGATCGGCAAGTCCTAGGCTCTGTGGTTTAACCCACAGCGCCACCTGCGTCCCTGGTACATGGGTAGACGAGTCTAAAAAGCCTGGGGCACAAATTGTCAAGGTCCTCTAGCAGCTATGGCGGCTCGTTTTCCAGAAGTTTTGTATTTAGTGTTAACTCTGGAATTGTATACAGTACTTGATTCTGACCAAACTAAGCCTCCCAATGTATCTTCTGCTCCCCCACTCCTGTGCTGCCTGCCTTGGAGGGGTGAGTATCGGGCATGGTGGCACCCACCTGTCCCCAGGCCATTCTGCTGGTGGCCCACCCGACGTAGTCGCTGCTCTGCCAGCAGTCTCAAGGCGTGGCAGAGGGGGGTGACTAAAGCCATGTAGGGGGGCTGCATGAGGTAGCTCAGCAACTTGGTCCACAATTCCTGCCAGGAAGAGGAGGGAGGGTTCAGCGCTTGGAGTCAGTTTCCTCCCTGGCCTTACAGAGCCCATTTCTCCTTAAAGCCCCAGTCATTCACCTCCATACCTCAACATCACTTCCCTGCCCTGCACATGTAAGGGGCAAGTTCCTCAGTCAGTACATGCTCAGAGGCACCCTTTTGCTCCACATGTTGCAAGGCTAAGTGGACAAAACGTTCTGGATCAGATCTCTTGGCCAGGGGTAGCCAATGTGGTACCTTCCAGATGTTGGACTTTAACCAGATGGTTAGAGAAGGTACGGGAAATTTCACTTTTGGAATATATATGGGGGGGGTATAAAATTTTATATAAAGTTTATTTATTTGGTTTCTCGGATTAAATTTTACAGTCACATATCCAACATATAACACATCAACTTGATCTGCCATTCTTCTCTGGAAGAATGGCATTTTTGGAATACAGTGGTGCCTCGCAAGACGAAAATAATCCGTTCCGCGAGTCTCTTCGTCTAGCGGTTTTTTCGTCTTGCGAAGCAACCCTATTAGCGGCTTAGCGGATTAGCGCTATTAGCGGTTTAGCGGCTTAGCGGTTATTAAAGGCTTAGCGGCTTAGCGGCTAAAAGGCTATTAGCGGCTCAGAAAAAGGGGGGGAGTGAAAAAAAATCGCAAGACTCGCAAGACGTTTTCGTCTTGCAAAGCAAGCCCATAGGGAAAATCGTCTTGCGAAGCAACTCAAAAACGGAAAACCCTTTCGTCTAGCGGGTTTTTCGTCTTGCAAGGCATTCGTCTTGCGGGGCACCACTGTATCTAATTCACCACAGCAGGGCTGTCCGGGTTTGGCCAAACAAGATTGTTCTGGCATAGTGTGGTTCCCTTTTATAACTTTCATTACCAACAATAGTGTATTATGCAAACCCCTAGTGGCGTGTGTAACACTATGGATTCGGAACACACACACTGTGGAATGTGAACGGTTTAATTCACTTCCCCCAACGATTATGATCTTGAATGCAATAAAACACGTGAGAGAGAACAAACTAAAAACCCCATCTCCCCTGCCCCAAATTCAAGGGGTCCCTGACCTGGCTGGTGCCCCTTCCCGAAGCCACAGCGATGTGGAGGACCTCTGCGCTGGCAATTCCAATGGCCTTCTCCTCCAAGCCGCCCAAGGGGAGGCTCAGTGTGGGGTGCGTCTGAAAGAGAAACAGGCTCCTGAGATGGCCCCCAAATCCCCCCCCCAACCTGAAGTCTCCAGGCCACTTAAGGGCAGGGCAGATCCCCTGGGCGCTCTCACCAGCTGGTGGGCAGACACAGCCATCTGCAGGGAGACGTAGTTCAGAGGCCAGCCTTCGATTCTCTCCAGGTAGCTGGTGCGCAGCAGCCTCCCAATGGCCCGGAGCGTGGCCAGGCGGACCTGAGAGCCAGAGCAGGCGAGGAAAGACAATGTCCCATGCCACCCGAGAGGGGCAGAGGTGTACCACGAGGCACTTAAAAGTGTTTGGGGGCCCTGTCCCACCCACGGCACACGACTCAACAGCAACCTGGAGGACTGAGTCCCTGGGCCTGCGGCTGGCAGTCCCAAATCCCTTCTCCTTCTCACCCTGGTGCTGTCGTCACCCAGAGCGGCCTTGACTACCCTCACGCACAGCTGCCTCCTGCTCCAGAGCTCAGGCACTGGAAGAGAAAGGCGGGTAAGGCTTAGCCTCTCTCCTGGCGTTGAGGGAGCCCAGCCCTCTTCATCATCCTCCCTAACCATTGGCCATAGTGGGCCTTCTGAGAGCCAGAGTCCAACAAGAGAGCGTGAGAGAGCGCATGGTGTAGTGGTTTAGAGTGTTGGACTAGGACTAGGGAGTCCAGGGTTCAAATCTCTGCTCAGCCATGAAACCCACTGGGTGTGACCTTGGGCCAGGCCCTGACTCTCAGCCTTGCCTACCTCACAGGGTTGCTGTGGGGATCGAAAGAGGAGGGGGAAGAACCATGTAAGTCCCTCTGAGATCATTGGAGAAAAAGATGGGCCATAAATGCAGCAAACAAATAAATATCTGGAGGAAAAATAATGTTGCTCAGGGAGTTGTTATTGTTATTGTTTTTGTTGTTGTTATATTTATTTTAGCTCTTGTGCTTTATGTGGAATTTGCTCAGTTTGCTTGTGTGTTTTTAAATGTTGCAGTTATATCTTATGACCACTTTTATTACATCGCATTGATATATTTTTTTCCATGTTGGAAGCCGCCTTGAGTATGGTTTGAGCTGAGGAAAGGCAGCATACAAATGCCATTACGTATTAACGAGAACAAGAGGCAGCCATCAGTTCACATCAATTTGTTATTATCCATCATCATAATATTATGGTATTCTTATCATTTTTTTAAGTTAAGCATAACTGACATTAAAAAACAGGCACACTCCCCAATTCATCAGAGTGGTCACTTTATTTTCACTACCTGCATTTTAATACATTTTTCTTATATTGTTTTAATTCTATTAAAATTTAATTCATTTTTAAATGCTATCTTTTATATGTTTTTAGTCTTTTATCTGTGTTTTATCTGTGTTGCTTTAATTATGTAAGCTACTTTGAGTCCCGGGCTGGAAAAAAAGAATACAGTGGTACCTTGGGTTAAGAAATTAATTCATTCTGGAGGTCTGTTCTTAACCTGAAGCACCACTTTAGCTAATGGGGCCTCCCGCTGCCGCCGCCGTGTGATTTCTGTTCTCATCCTGAAGCAAAGTTCTTAACCCAAGGTACTATTTCTGGGTTAGCGGAGTCTGTAACCTAAAGCATCTGTAACCCGAGGTACCACTGTATTATTATTATTATTATTATTATTAGGTTTTAAGCAATGGCTCTAACCAATTCTTCAGTTAAAGGCTGTCCCACTGCAGACAGCTCTTTCAAACCAGTCAAGGGACGTTCCTAACATCACTTCAGTAATCTTCACAACAGCCCTGCAAGGTTGATCAGAACTATCAGCTTCCTCCTGTTGCAGATGAGAAGAGGGGCTGGCCTTGGCCTCCTTCGCAAGGTCAGGGCTGAGGGCAAATTTGGGCCAGAAACTCTCTTCCTCACTTAACACTCTTAGGATGCTCTTTCTGTGGGAGGGAAGTTGGGGGTCTAAGGTGCAGGGGGGGCAGCTATATGAGCCTAGACCCCCTTCCTCTCCAGATACTTACACTGGGCACCGACAATTTCAGAGAACAACGCCAGGAGCACCGCACAGACGTCTTCTTGGCGCTCTTCCACCTTCCCCTGGAAGACCCCCATCAGCCCAGAGGGGTGCAGACGGGCTGTGGGGGAGCAGAAGGGGCCATAGCTCAGTGCCAGGGCATCTGACTTGCAGGTAGAAGGTCCCATGTTCAATCCCCAGTTGGGCTGGGAGAGACTCCTTATCTGGAAAACCCCAGAGAGCTGCTGCCAGTCAGTGTGGATAATGCTGACTTGGTAATAAGACAGCTTCCTCTGTTCCTATTCAAATCAGCTCTTGATCTGGAACCATGAGGACTAGAAACTTAAGTGCTAGAGGACCTGCTTTGCCTGCTCCAGGTTCAATCCCCGATGGCATCACCAGCCAGGGCTGGGAATGTCTACAGCCTGAAACCCACAAAGAGCTGCTGCTGTCAGTCAGTCTAGGGAGTATTGAGCTAGACTTCCCATGCCCCCAGTAAGTGTAGGGGCCCATGGGGTGGATGTCCACCATTTTTCACCCTCTTCCCCTTGGTTTGAACTGGGATGGGGAGCCTCCCCTCTTTCTGTCCATACCCAGGCGCAGGAAGATGTGAGCGATCTCTTTGAAGTTCTCCTCACATTGTGGGTGAGGCGGCCATTTCTGTCCCCTGATGCAGATCTAGGGGGAGGAAGGATGTTGGCATTTTATCAGTGATTTGTTGCTCCTGCAGTATGTAGTTCAGCTACGGAACTCCGAAAGGAGGAAGTGACGGCTACCGACCTAGATAGCCTTAAAAGAGTAGACAAATCTTGCGCTCGGGTCCTACTTTTGTGTTTCCCATTGGAGCATATGCTTGGTCACTGTGAGAGCAGGATGCTGAACTAGATGGACCATTGGTCTGATCCAGTAGCCTCAAATTATGTTCTTACAGCATCATTGCCACCTGCCTCCTGGGTTGGCTCACCCACCAGCTCCAAAATTCCTCCCCTCTCACCTGGCGAACCAGAGCGCAGGTGAGGGGCCCCACATGCTCCCTTGGGATTGGGTTGTTGTTCACAAGAGACGCTTCCAGGATCTGGCCCAGGATCTGCAACAGGCATAAGAAAAACGACATTGGCTCCCAGTACGTTTCTGAGCACAGTTCAAAGTGTTGGTATTGTCCTTTAAAGCCTTAAAAGGCTTCGGCCCTGTATACCTGAAGGAGCGTCTCCAGCCGCATCATTCAGCCTGGACACTGAGGTCCAGCTCTGAGGGCCTTCTGGCACTTCCCTCCCTGCAAGAAGTGAGGCAAAGGGCCTTCTCGGTGGTGGTGCCCGCCCTGTGGAACGCCCTCCCTTCAGACGTTAAGGAAATAAAAAAGCAATCTGACGTTTAGAATACATCTGAAGGCATCCCTGTATGGGTAAGTTTTTAATATTTGATCTTTTGCTGTGAATGTTTTAATGTGCTGAAAGCCTCCCAGGGCGGCTGGGGCAACCCAGTCAGACGGGTGGCATATTAACAATAAATTATTAGTATTGTTATTAGCAAAAACTGTTAAGTTGTGGGTGAACATATCAGACGACACAGCGATTCTTCAAACAGCTCTTGTTTATTCACAGGCCTGAACCGAACTGAACTGAAGGGTTCAGCCAGCCTGCTGATATAGCGCTTCCCTAGAATGCAACAGTAATCATTTTCTGCAACTATCCAATCACTGAACGTCACTTTCGATCCCTTATTTGCATGTGGACCTGAACTATCTACAGTATCCCCCTGCTGGCCCAGGGTGAGAACTTCAGTACATAATAATGAGCACAACAGCTCATTCCCTGAAACCAGTTGCTGAGATGAAGGGTCCCTGGATCCCTGCAGCTGCCTATCCTCTCCAGGGTTTATTGCAAGCAATCGAAGACCACCCCCACACCACAAAAATCATGGCAATATATATATATTTTTAAACAGATAAAATCTATATACACCTAAATAGAAATTGATACAGCAGCCGAGCTTGGGGTGGCCTGCTCAAGTCCTGGGTGCCAGCGGGGAGCAGCAATCCGCAATGCTCACCTTGGTAACGAGGAAGGTCTCCGTGCTGCTATCATACTGGGCTAGGAGCAGAGAGATGTCGCTGTAGATCTGAGCTTGGAAGTCTGTCCTGGGCAGCAGGAGTCGCAGGATGGGGCTCAGAGTCTTCAAGACTGCCAGCTGGACCTTTGTGGGTGGGGAGGCAGCAGCTGTCACAAGACATTTGGAGGCAAGATGGGAAACCCACCTTCCACAATGGTGACAGGGCAGGGTCCTCCCCCAGTCACTAAGGGCAGAGAGCTAGTTTAGGGGGGCCAGCAGGAAACCACACATGTTTTTGGCCTGGGTCAGTTTGCTTGCCCAGTGAGATATCTGCCTGCAGAAAAAAGGGTTGGTGCTGATTGAAGTGTGAGGTGCTATTTGACTGCTGGTGAGTGGGCACAGCAGAGGGGTGAGGGTGAGTTTTTTAAAAAAACAAAACTAAGTTCTAAATTTAAGAGGTCACCTGCTGTGATCCTGTGATGCCAAGATGTTTTTGTGCCCCTTCTCAAGGCCCTCCAAAATCTGTCCATTTTTTAACTACAGTAGTACCTTGGTTCTCGAACGTAATCCATTCTGGAAGTCCGTTCAACTTCTGAAACGTTCAAAAAATCAAGGCACGGCCTCCGATTGCCACAGGTGCCCCGGAAACAACAGCCGATAGCCGCATTGGACCTTCGGCTTCCGAAAAATGTTCGGCTTCCGAAAAACTGGAACACTTACTTCCAGGTTTTTGGTGTTTTGGAGCCGAAATGTTTGAGTACCAAGGAGTTCGAGAACCAGGGTTCCACTATATTAATTTTTTTATTTTTATTTTTTTACTGACTAGCCCTGTGGTTCCTGTGTTGTGATGTTGTTGTTGTTTAGTCGTGTCCAACTCTTCGTGACCCCATGGACCAGAGCACGCCAGGCACTCCTGTCTTCCACCGCCTCCCGCAGTTTGGTCAGGCTCATGTTTGTAGCTTCGAGAACACTATCCAACCATCTCATCCTCTGTCGTCCCCTTCTCCTTGTGCCCTCCATCTTTCCCAACATCAGGGTCTTTTCCAGGGAGTCTTCTCTTCTCATGAGGTGGCCAAAGTATTGGAGCCTCAACTTCACGATCTGTCCTTCCAGTGAGCACTCAGGTCTGATTTCCTTAAGAATGGATGCATTTGATCTTCTTGCAGTCCATGGGACTCTCAAGAGTCTCCTCCAGCACCATAATTCAAAAGCATCAATTCTTCGGCGATCAGCCTTCTTTATGGTCCAGCTCTCACTTCCATACATCACTACTGGGAAAACCATGGCTTTAACTATACGGACCTTTGTTGGTAAGGTGATGTCTCTACTTTTTAAGATGTTGTCTAGATTTGCCATCGCCTTTCTCCCAAGGAGCAGGCGTCTTTTAATTTCGTGACTGCTGTCACCATCTGCAGTGATCATGGAGCCCAAGAAAATAAAATCTCTCACTGCCTCCATTTCTTCCTCTTCTGTTTGCCAGGAGGTGATGGGACCAGTGGCCATGGTCTTCGTTTTTTTGATGTTGAGCTTCAGACCATATTTTGCGCTCTCCTCTTTCACCCTCATTAAAAGGTTCTTTAATTCCTCCTCACTTTCTGCCATCAAGGTTGTGTCATCTGCATATCTGAGGTTGTTGATATTTCTTCCGGCGATCTTAATTCCGGCTTGGGATTCATCCAGCCCAGCCTTTCGCATGATGAATTCTGCATATAAGTTAAATAAGCAGGGGGACAATATACAGCCTTGTCGTACTCCTTTCCCAATTTTGAACCAATCCGTTGTTCCATATCCAGTTCTAACTGTAGCTTCTTGTCCCACATAGAGATTTCTCAGGAGACAGATGAGGTGATCAGGCACTCCCATTTCTTTAAGAACTTGCCATAGTTTGCTGTGGTCGACACAGTCAAAGGCTTTTGCATAGTCAATGAAGCAGAAGTAGATGTCTTTCTGGAACTCTCTAGCTTTCTCCATAATCCAGCGCATGTTTGCAATTTGGTCTCTGGTTCCTCTGACTCTTCTAAATCCAGCTTGCACTTCTGGGAGTTCTCGGTCCACATACTGCTTGAGCCTTCCTTGTAGAATTTTAAGCATAACCTTGCTAGCGTGTGAAATGAGTGCAATTGTGCGGTAGTTGGAGCATTCTTTGGCACTTCCCTTCTTTGGGATAGGGATGTAGACTGATCTTCTCCAATCCTCTGGCCACTGCTGAGTTTTCCAAATTGTGATACTATGATACTATGTGTTGTGATACTATGGTGCTAAAAAGTTTTTCTGGTCTCCCAAGTCCTTTGCCCTATGAAACTCTTTTAATATTTTTTTTTAATGTCCAGTGGCTTTGACATGCAGCCCCTGCAAGGTGGATCATGTGGCCCTCGGTCTGAAAAAGACCAGTCACCTCTACTCTAGGCTGCAAAATCTTGCCACTGTAGAAAGTGTCCCTCTTCCATCCAAGGAACCTGCAGCACGATCCTTGGGGAGACAGCAAAGTCACCCAGAACCCCTCCCCAGATGGAGAGAGTCCCAGGAAAGGGTTGATCGAAGGCACCCTGAAGGTTATGGGGGGGGCTGATTGATTGCCCCTTGCCCCTCACCTGTGCATCGCATCCAGGGAGCCAAGTTCGGGTCATGCAGGAGTAGAGAGGCAGCAGGTAGGCAGAGAACTGCTGGACGCTGATGCGGGGGTAAGAGCTTCGTTCCCAGGTCCGCAGGTATATCCGGATTGCCCCACACATCTGCTCCAGAGCTTGGGAATGTGAATGAGAGACAGAGAACAGAGAAGGGGGTGGGGAGAGAGAAATGAAAGGCAGAGCATGTTAACCAAGGTGGAAGTTCTGCTTCCATAGTTAAACTGTGGAACTCACTCCTGCAGGTGGCTTTGACGGGCACCAACTTGGATGACTTTAAAAGAGTATATACACAAAGTATCAAATGTGGTGACAGTAATAATAATACAACAAAACAACACCACAAACTGGCTTATAAGTATAAAACCAAATTTACTAGAATAATAAACTGGAATAGAGATAGACTTGTAACCATTCAAGCAACAAACATACTAAGGTGCCATGTGCAAAACAAAGCCTGGAGATACTGTAACCATGGAGTGGATAAATGTACAACTGTATCTTAACAAGTTACATGTGCAATAAACGTTATAGAGACTGGATGAATGGACCGTTCAACAAGTAGCGTAAGTCCAATCAAAGAACAGCAACCCCGTGCCGCCACAATGGCAAGGGGAGCACACTGGAGAATATGAAAAAGTTTTTCAAAGTTGTTTTCCAAAGATTGAACTGGATGAGATGTTCTTCAATAGGTCTTGAGTTGGAAACACAAAGCCGTATGCATGGACCAATCACAGGAAGGCAAATCAAAGGAACCACCCTGGTGAGAATAACTCAAGTGGGCAAAAGGAGACCTGTTCTCAGGATATATTACAGATTTCGCTACACGCTTCTTCAGTCTGAAAAGCTGCTTGATAAAAAATGGCACTCCACTTACGTTGTTGTTGTTTAGTCGTTTAGTCGTGTCCGACTCTTCGTGACCCCATGGACCAGAGCACGCCAGGCACCTCTGTCCCCCACTACCTCCCGCAGTTTGGTCAAACCCATGCTGGTAACCTCGAAAACAATGTGTGGTAAACCATAAAAATTAGAAAATATTAGTCTCATACTATACCTTACCCAGTCACACAAAACAGTTTGCTCAGGATAAATAAAGTTATTATTCTAGTAAATTTGGTTTTATACTTATAAGCCAGTTTGTGGTGGTGGTGGTGTTCTGTTGACTTTAAAAGAGGACAGGACAAATTCATGGAGGAAGAGAAGGCTATGGTTGGCTCCTAGTCAGAATGGGTATACTCTGCTGCCACAGATGCAGGCAGCAATGCTTCTGAAATCTAGTTGCTGGAAACCACAAGTGAGGAGGGTGCTCCTGTGCTCAGGTCCCGCTAGCAGGCTTCCTTGAATGGGCATCTGGTTGGCCACTGTGAGAACGGTGGAGGTAACTCAGCCTCATATAACCAACATGCTTTTAACTCTAGTTAATGCACGAAGGCAAGGGACGCGGGTGGCGCTGTGGGTAAAACCTCAGCGCCTAGGACTTGCGGATTGCATGGTCGGCGGTTCGAATCCCTGCGGCGGGGTGAGCTCCAGTCGTTTGGTCCCAGCTCCTGCCCACCTAGCAGTTCGAAAGCACTCTTAAGTGCAAGTAGATAAATAGGTACCGCTTTATAGCAGGAAGGTAAACGGCGTTTCCGTGTGCTGCTCTGGTGCCGGTTCGCCAGAGCAGCGATGTCACGCTGGCCACGTGACCCAGAAGTGTCTCCGGACAGCGCTGGCCCCCGGCCTCTAGAGTGAGATGAGCGCACAACCCTAGAGTCTGTCAAGACTGGCCCGTACGGGCAGGGGTACCTTTACCTTAATGCACGAAGGGGTTAAGACCATAGAGTAAGGTGTCCCAAGTTTGCAAAGCATCGCTTAAGGAGGCCCTGCAGGACCCACCTGTGCAGAGAGCCCTGCGCCTCCGTCCATCCTCGATCCGGCGCATGGCGGTCTGGAGGGTGGTTAGGGTGATGCCCAGGAAAGGGACACAGCTGTACACTGAGGAGAGATGGGCAGAGAAAGCAGAAAGTGTGCTTGATCGTACCCTGGGGTGGGGAATGAAACCTCCCCTGGGTTTTATCAAGGAGCTTCCTGGGACAGATCACGAGCCATATTGGACTCTTGGCAATTTGGATCAGGACAGGAGTGAAGATGGAACTGTCAGGAGAATTCCTGCTCCATGATTGCAGTCATGGGATTGTTGGCTATCACATGATGGTATATGCTTTGACTCCACAGAGTGGGAAGTGACGGAGACAGGATGTTTGTGTTACTGTGTTCCGTGGAGTGGGACTATTGTCCTTTGTTCTTTCTCTTTGCTGTCTGATGCTAGAGAGAGAGGGAGACATGTTGCAGTGCTCCGTGTATGTTTATATGTAAATAAAGTAGATTAGCCAAAATGCTGAGTTGCTGAGGTCTATTACGCAAGCTGGGAAGACTCTGCGGTTCCCTAAGTGTGCCAATGTCTGTTGGCATCGGTCCCTGTGATGTTCGGGCAGAAGAAAGCTTTTGAAGCTCCCGATCAACCAGGAGGGAGAGAACATGCCAGTCGGGCATGTGTCTCTACCAGGGTCCTACTCGAGTGTAGGATGAGCTCCTGACAACAGGAATTCTAACAGGAACTTGCCCTTGTACCATTGTTGGCTGCGATCTTCCCCAGGGTCAGAAGAGTGAACTCATCAGGCGGGGCAAACGGCTTGAGCTGGTGCTGGAGCTCCATCATTATGGGGTGGAAGTGATGGCAGGCAAAGGTGGCCAGGGTGCTGCTTGCTGCTGCCTGAAGCTCTCGGGGCACTTCCTGCTGAGAGGGCGGAAATGAGATTAGGAAGCACAAAATCCAGCAACCTGTTAGCAAAGGGAGCTGGTGTGCCATAGTGGTTAGAGCGTCTGACTAGGAACACCGGGAGACCAGGGTTCGAATCCCCGCTCAGCCATGAAGCTCCTTGGGTGGCCTTGGGCCAGTCACTGCCTCTCAGCCTATCCTAAGTCACAGGGTTGTTGTGGAGTTTAAATGAGGAGGAGGGAGAACCATGTTTGTATATTTAAGCTCCTTGGTGGGGGGTGGGGGATGGTGGGAGATAAATGCAATTGATAAAATAAAACAAAGGAGGTAGGATGAAAATCCCAGCCCTCCCACCTACCACATGGCTGGGAGCTTGCAAAGCAGAGTTTGGCCTCAGGATGTCTTAAAAGCAACAACCACCACCCAGAATTAACCACTAAGCAGGGAGATGCCTCTGGGAGTCATCTGCGGTATCCTTACATCTGGGGATGCCCTCAGGTGCTTGGAGGCCGCAAGGATGAATTGGCTGGCGGGCTCCACCTCCAGGCCATGCTCCATCATGGCCTGCAGACTGCGATAGATGGCCACCTTCTGCCAGGCAGAAGCCTGCAGGAAGGAAGAGAGAGAGAGGAAGAGAGAGAGAGAGAGAGAGAGAGAGAGAGAGAGTGTTTCTGAGCATGGAGGGAAGGACCTGTCCATTTAATCTCTATTATTTTACCCTGCCCATCTGACTGGGTTGCGGGCGGCTTCCAACAAAAATACAGCATCAAACATTAAAAGCTTCCCGAAGTAGGGTTATGTTCAGATGCCTGCAAAAACTTATATAGTTGTTTAACTCTTTGACAACTGGTGCTGGTGCTCTTGAGAGGATTTGGTCTACAATTCTCAAGCTGGGGCTGATGGAATTTGTGGTCCTAAATCTCTGAAGGGCACTTGAGGTGGGGGGAACCGGTCTTGGAAAACGGTCTAAGTTAGAGAAGCAGTTTTTCCTACCTCGTCCTGCTGCAGCATCACCACGAGAACTGGTATCACGGCAGCTGGCTGGCTGCGAGCAGCCTTCACAATGCAGAGGATGACCTCCTTCTGGGATGCGGCCTCTGGGAGTTGCAGGAGGTGGCTGATGGAGTGGAAGCGACCTGAGTAGGGGACGGAGGAGGCTGCAGCAACCCATCAGGCTGACAAGAATAACGATAGCTTGCCCAACGTTCTGCAGGGAGGTGGCACTTCCGAAGGCCTGGGTGGTTTCAAGGTTCTAGACCTTGTTGCCACCAAACAATGAGCGTGTGTGCAAAGTCTGATGAAAACTCTCTGCACCTGTTATGTACTGAGTTGAATAGGATCCAAAAGGCAGCAGTCTAATTGGTCCTAGAACAATAGGATTCAGAATGCAGCAGTCTGATTGGTCCACAGGAGCCACCCAATCCAGCTCCAGGTGGAAGTGAATCCGCAACCTGATTGGCCTACAGGTGAATCCCAGAATTAGCCGATCATGTGGGGCCCATTGTGTAAATAATGTATATAAAGAAGACATTCTGGGGGAACTGCCATTCCTCCTCACCATTATGAGCTGAATACAGAGCATGAAATCCACTCTCGACTCGGAGTATATTTCAGCACCCTTTTAAAGGAACAAGGGGAAAGTTGAGTGCTGTTCACAGCTGGGGCCATGCAGATGTTGATGAGCTGCATCTCCTCTCAGGTCTAACAAATAGCATGGCCAACAACCAGGGATGATGGGAGCTGGAGTCCAATCACATGTTCACAGTGGAATGGACTACTTTGGAGGGCAGACTCTCCTTCATTGGAGGTTTTTCAACAGAGGTTGGATGGTCACCCGAGGGATTCTTTAGCTGTGATCCCTGCATCACAGGGGGTTGGACTAGATGACCCTTGGGGTCTCTACCATTCTAGGATTCTATGCTGAGGACCACATGTGAAGCATTCCTGATTTACAGCTCTCATCATAACTGTTTGCCTCTTGCTGCAGTGAGCAGAAAAACACTACATTTGTTCAAGCAGGGGGGTGGTGACCCCTTTTTTGACCCAAAGGGGCATGTTCCCCATAGCTGCTCCTTTGGAGACCACTTGGGAGTCATATTCTAGAGGGTGCTGAAGGCAGGAAGAGCGAGCCACATAAGAGGAGCAGAAGGGGTAAATGAGAAGGACCTCTACAAGTGTTCATGTCAGGCTATGACCAGGGTGACCAGGGTCCCCATGCAGCCATGAAGCTCACTGGGTGATTTTGGGGCCAGTTTCTGTCTCTCAATCTAACTTCCCTCTCAGGGTTAGGGAAAGACATAGGAAGAACCAGCGGTTGTATTCTGTGCCAACTTTTAAACGCCTGCTGAAACATTTTTATTCTGTCAGGCTTATGCAAGCAATTAAGAGCACATCTCCTGCAATGGTTTATCAATGCTTAGTTTTAAACTTTTTTCCTTCTCTGTTGTTTTTATTCAGCCCCCGCAAGGATAGCCATGCTCCCATCAGCCCCTGCACCACACTATTAGGCCCTATTAGTTGGGGCTGCTGGGTGTTGTAGTCCAAACCAAACGGAGCGCACCATGTTGACAAAGTCTGATTTAGGGAGAACTTGCACACTGTACTATTTATGTTGCTGGGAAATAGTGCAAGATCAACGTATCTTTTTAAGGTGCAATCAAAGCAGTGATCGTTGGGAGCGAGGTATGGCGAGTGGCATCCCTACAGAATGCACAGGGAACAAAATGATTCTTGCATTGCAGGGGGTTAGACCAGGTCTGTTCTCTGGGGTCTGTTCCAACTCTACAATTCCATGAAAGGCAAAGACAAGGGCAAAAAGTTGCATTGGATCCCTTGGAAGTTGTGATTGAAGTTGCAGTGACCCTGAATTACTATATTTATATGGAGCTTTCACAAACTGCCCAAGTCCCTTACCTTCACTGGATGATTCTCCCTCATCAGTCATGCCCTTATATGCCTTCTGCTCTGTGTTTTCTGTCCAAAGATGGAATGCTCAACAATTGCAACTTGCCCTTACAAACACACACAGGTTATGGATGTTGAGACTCCCAATACATATCTCCAAGACCATGCAAAACCCCACCAGCAGCCCCATGGAAGCCGGAAGCCACACCTGGTGTCAGCCCCATTGGAAGTCACAAGGCATCTGGGAAGGGGCAGGCATACCCCACTCCCCTCCAAAGAAGCCCCAGGTTCTCCAAGTGACAGGGAGATGTTTCCTTTCCCTCTCTTCTAAATCTAGGACTCAGGGCTATCCAGTGAAGTCGGATATTGGGAGATTTGGAACAGGCAAAAGAAAGTCCTTCTTCATGCTCCACGATGTTAAACTGGAACTCCCTACCACAGGAGACGGTGATGGCCATCAACTTGGATGGATTTAAAAGAGAACTGGATAAATTCATGGAGTCATGGTTATTAATGACTACTAGCCATGATGGTTGTATTCTTCCTCCAAACACCAGATACTAAATAATACAGTGGTGCCTCGCAAGACGAAAAGAATCCGTTCCGCGATTCTCTTCGTCTAGCGTTTTTTTCGTCTTGCGAAGCAACCCTATTAGCGGCTAAGCGGATTAGCGCTATTAGCGGTTTAGCGGCTATTAAAGGATTAGCGGCTAAGCTGCTAAAAGGTTATTAGCGGCTTAGCGGCTTTGAAAAAGGGGGGGAAAGAGGGGGGGAAATCGCAAGACTAGCAAGACGTTTTTGTCTTGCGAAGCAAGCCCATAGGGAAAATCGTCTTGCGAAGCAGCTCAGAAACGGAAAACCCTTTCGTCTAGCGGGTTTTCCGTCTTGCGAGGCATTCGTCTTGCGGGGCACCACTGTACCAGCTCTTCTGCTCGGGCATCTGATTGGCTACTATGAGAACAGGATGCTGGACTAGATGGGCCCCCATTGGCCTGATCCTACAGGGTTCTTAGTATGTTCACAGATTCTTAACATAAGCTAAGGGCAGAAATTGACCCCTGGCCACTGGCACAGACCAACTTATATGGGGACACCCTGCTTGTGTGTACTGGGGGAACGGGACTCAAACTGGAAATAGAAAGGTCTACATTCAAATGGCCCCACAGCACAGCAAAGGTCTCTTGTGGTGGAGGAGGTGAGGGACAGAGGAATAAATCAAGCCACTTTTTCTTGCAAAGATTTAAGCTGAAGACTGAAATTGCTATCTATTTATTGGATAAAGGTATTGAGGGGATGCTCATCAAATTTGCAGATGACACCAAACTGGTTGGGGTAACCAATGCTGCTGAGGACAGAATCAGGATTCAATATGACTGTAACAGATTTGAGAACTGGGCCAAAACTAACAAAATGGATTTCAGTAGGGACAAATGTAATGTTCTGCACTTAGGCAGGAAGAACCAGCTGCACAAATAGAAGATGAAGGCTATTTGGATTGCCAGTAGTACATAAAAGGATCTAGGGGTCTTAGTGGACCAAAAGCTTAACATGAGTCCACAGTTTGATGCAGCAGCAGCAACAACAAAAAGCTAATGCTATTCTAGGCTGCATCAACAGAAATATAGTGTCCTGGTCAAAGGAAGCAATAGTACCACTCTATTCTGCCTTGGTCAGAGCACACCTGGAGTACTGTGTCCAGTTCTGGGCACCACAATTTAAGAAGGATTTTGACAAGCTGGAACGTGTGCAGAGGAGGGCAACCAAGATGATCAAGGGTCTGGAAACCAGGTCTTCTGAGGAACGGTTGAAGGAGCTGGGTATATTTAGCCTGGTACAGAGGAGACTGAAAGGAGATATGATAGCCATCTTTAAAAATCTAAAGGGCTGTCACATGGAGGATGGAGCAAACTTGTTTGGGCTAGGACCCAAATCAATGGCTTCAAGTTACAAGAAAGGAGATTCCAACTAAGCACCAGGAATAACTTTCTGACAGTAAGGGCTGTTTGACAGTACAGCAGACTCACATGACAGGTTTTTAAGCAGAGGTAGGGTGGTCATCTGTCATATATGATCTAGTTGAGATTTCTGTATTGCAGGGGTCTGGACTACGTGATCCCTGGGGTCCCTTCCAACTCTACAATTCTATGATTCTGTTATCTATCTATCTAGCCATCCCCAGTTGGTCAATATGCGCAGAACCAATTCACACATTCCAGCCTGGAGATGCTGCCCATCTTAATGCTGACTGGTGGATTGCTCAAGCAATCAAGTCCCAGGGATGGCAAACTAGTGGATTTCTTCACTACAAAAGAATGAACTAGGCTCCCTCCCTCTCCATGAAAGGGGCCTCAAGATCCCCTCCAGCTCACTTTGTAATGGGCTGGGTGCTTGCTTCTGAGAGAGAGAAGGAAGCTGTGAGCGAAGGTGAGCCGGCAGGAAAAGAAGTGACCTCAAGTGACAAGCTCAGGGTGGCCTTGACTCACGGAACAGCAACACCCAGGAGGCTCTGTGACATCACTGAGACGGTCTGCTCAGAGGAACCCATCCCTGGGAAGAGCATCCTGGGGCCGCATGGGGAAATGGGTATGGTACCCCAGAAAAGGGCAGACCCCTCCTTTCCTATTTGCATGGTCCCATGAAACAGGATCCTGGATTTGGAGCTGACTGGAGGCTCCAGAGTTCATGCTAGATCTGGGATAGCAAAGAGGATCAGAATGGCAGACCAGCAAAAATGTCCAAATGGAAGGGAGATGGTTTTATTGAAATACTCTGGGTTTCAGTACCTTAGTGAAGTTTAATCTGTTCTTTTGTCATTAGAAAACAGAGAAACCACTCCTGCATACGGTTCTGCTACAATATAAAATATGATTGCATTGCCACCATTCCTTTAAAGCAGCTTCACTACCAACCCGGTGCCTCTCTGGATGCTTTGGACTCCAACTCCCATTAGCCCCTGCTGTGATGGTGATACTCCCATCAACCCCCAACCAACCTGGCTGGAGCTGATGGGAGTTAAGAGTCCAGTGACCCCTGGAGGGTGCCAGGTTGGGGGAGGCCTGCTTTCAATTGTCCCCTGCCCCAGACATACAGAACAATAATGTTAACAAAATATTATATACACAGGCTGGCAACTGGAAGAGAATAAAATATATTCCCCCTCACCCTTAACACTAAAACTGGCCTTGATTATGATCAGACCAAAGGCCAATTCAAATAACAAAAGGTTGTTTCAGGGTTGGGATTTCTGCAGGACCACCAGAGACGCTGCCACAAAGTGTGGAGACTGGAGCCTAAAAGAGTGGCTCTCTCTGCCCCTTGCAGAAATCGCCCTCAAAGAGGAGAAGGACCCTGATTTTGGCCAGCTCCTCAGACAGAGTCTGTTTCTTTCGCAGTTGTCAATTTTGGCTTGCAA